TTTTGTCCTCTTCTTTTAAGAGGCATTCGCAGATTACTACACGCGTGTCCTCAAGAAGTTGCAGTTGTCATGATGAACTACAGCGCCAAGGTATCCTTACGCAAAGTAGATTTTATAATGGTGACTTCAAAAACTTTGTTAAGGGGCATGATGCTATTTCATGATTAAATGGTGTCGTATCTTACATTGGTTTCCCTCTCAGATTTGTGTCGCCTGAAAGACACGTGCGTCTGCATACCCAAAATTGCATATATCTATAAATATTCGGAGAAATGCGTGGAGAAGTATGCTGAAGGAGATTTCAGAAATGATACAAAAGAATGGAAGGAAGCTTTAGAGGTGGAAGAAAACCTGCTGTTCCAATTCCCCGGGCAGAAGAAAGGCTAGATAGACCTGGCAGACTGATGTTGGAAGAGGTTCATCATGCTTGGAATACTTAGGGGCACTAAACTCCCCGAATAAGAAAATCAGATGAATCCATTTTAATTAGGGATCTTCCTGTTGCTACTGTCTTGTATCACTTGAGGCAACTGGGAATCTAAAAGTAACAAGCTTATTTGATCTGTATCAACTGCAGTTAAATGGACACATGGATGAGAACTCTATTAAAAAATCAGTGTGTGTGATTTTGGCTGCTGAGCCTCCGTGGGCTTTCACATCTCGGATGGCATGGAGCCCGAGGTTTCTCTCCAGTGCTCCCATTGAGCTTGGACGTGGCTTTTTTACGCCCCCACCCTTATGTCCAGAGTTATGTACACGTTTCCACATATTAAAAATGGAGTCTACGCTGCTCGGATTGACAACACGAGCAGAGCCTCTGCAGCCGTATCCGTCACCGGGTCTAGCTGTGCGCCCTGGGACCTATCTCTGCAGTCAGCCGCTTCCATCGGGCCGGTCCGTGCCGGGAGATAACCTGCACGCGACCACAGTGCTGTTTTTTTCCTACCCTCTTCCTGTTCTGTTTCTCCTCCGACAACTTCTGTAACCCCTGTTACCCAAGAAAACCCTCCAACTCTTGGCTGTTGGCAAACTGGTGGGTCGGGCGGCCTTTCGCTTGATGGTCACCTCTGGAAAAAGCGCCAATGGACATTTTCAGACAGAATTCTCCCCCGACTCAGTTTCTGCTTTGCGAGCGCGGTCTGGTCACGCAAAGACTGGGCTCCACAAAGCGTCCGCACCTCCGCTCTCCCTCACGCACACTGACCCTACGGAGAGTTGGCGTGGGCTTTGCGGGGCACCTGTTGCACGCAGACGTACTGTCAGTCTCACGGTCCGCGATCCGAACGGCTCCTTTCATTCCGTTACCCCGTGTACGTGAGGAACCCCTTCGCGGGAGTCCCGCGATGGCGAGAAGGGCAGCTAATCAATATAAAAATAAACAGAACATTATTTGCCACTCTTTTTTGACGATCAATTATGAAGAAGAAGCTTTCCGTGGAGCACATCGGTAGTGTCAAGAGGGGTGGCAGCGCAGCTGCCCGGGCTGCCGTGCTTCATCCATCATTACCTAGCAAATGAGCCGACTGGCTGGTGGGCAGGTACTGAAGCCCTGGCAGGCAAGCGGGAGAAGAGATTATTTTTGCATATCTTCTGTGAATCTCCGGGGAATTCAGTGGCGTTCCTAATCTCAAATGCTAGTAATTAAAAGGATGGCATCTTTGGGCTGGAGAATTCAGAAGAAAATCATTTTCACGGCACCTAAAGGGCTCGATGTGGCGCTGAATGACAGATGGGAAACCTTTATGAAGGCTTCGTAACCCCTTGCCCTGAGAGACTATACTTTTTGACACTGCCGGCTTGAGAGGATATAGATGTTTTTATTCGGGTGATAGTGTGGTGATTCTGTAAAGCAATGAGTCGTTTATTAAAGTATTTTAATGAACAGTGCGAGCAGTGAACACCTGACAAAGCTTGTTGTCGCTGCTGAGAGCAAAAACATAAGTATTAACCGCAGAGTCCTTTTGTCTATGGAGACTTCTATATTGCACAGAAATAAGATGTAGGGAGGAAAAAAAAAAAAAAACCAAAACAAAAAACAAAAACAGCAAAAACCACCTGACCTAGGAAGTAAGATTCCATGTTTCATCTTTTTAGATCATGGCCTCAGGAATGCCACTCCGCTTTCCTTCTAATAATCCCTTTATTGACTTGGGGGTCTCTGTATCCGAATACAGTTGTATTTAAAAAACGATAGAAAGAGAGAAAAACGAGACTCATTCACATTCCAAGTCTGCTTTCTGTCTCACACGTATTACATTTCACCAAACATAGAAACAATAGAGCTTATTAAGAAAAACTTGTTTTGAATGGCAAATTAAGCATAACGAAAATACACACGTTTTTACAAGCAGTGATTTTTTCACCGATTGAATATTTAAAACCTTTTGAAAACATATACTCGTCTCTGCAAAATGGTTTTCTTTAAGCTCATTTTCACCGTATCAGCCCGCTCTATGTATCTATTTGTATTTTCTATTTCGGTCAGCTCACAAACCTTACGAAGCCCGACGCGCTGCCCGCGGGCCGGCGTTACGCAGCGGGGTGCCCCTGCCAGCAGTGCCAGCGCTGCCTTCCTGCCTGAGCGGGCGGCGCGCAGCCTCCGCAATGGGGCTTCTTAGGCACGAAAGAAGTCATCGTTTTATTTGGAAAAGTCTTCGACGCGAATACCTTTGATCCGCAACGTAAATAATCGCAACGGACACAACCGTTTGTCACCGCTTTGGAAATTCGTGTGGTATCAATAAGCAAACCAAGAAAAAGGTTTGTAGGAACCAGGAAAAGTAAACCTGACCTACTGAAAGGTCCTTCTGTCACCCTTACGTACAAACTATGAAAAAAAAAAAGTCTTTATAAATCGCAGGAAAAAATAAAAGCATGTTTTTGATCTCCATCGCCCGTGACTCTGAACTGAGAAGGGCAGGGGAAAAAAATCTGCTTTGAGAAAAGGGTGCAGAAGTTATCTTAAATGTTGCTTTGTAGTGTAAATCCATTAAATCACTATTCTCGGTTCACACCAACTTCTGTATCAGGCGTTACAAAGTCTCTCAAACGTAAAGCACTTCAGTGCTGAGTATTAAGGTGGACCGGATTTTTCTACTCAGTAGGTATCACAGCGATCTGAGAATTTATTTTTACAGCCTGGGATGTCAGAATGGCACGGAAGCATGAAAATCTCACCATCTGTATGCTCACGGACAATTCATCGAGAACGCTGTACGACAGACTTGGAATAACAAAATGTGAGCGCTCTTACTACCGCTCAGACCTCATTTAAATAGCACTTAACCTGAGTTGCCGTGCCGCTTACCTCGGGCCCAAACCTCCCCTGCCACTGTTCGCCTACCCGCACGAATCCTGCCATAAAACAACCACGTGCCGTTTGAAATAACACTTGTTAAATGAAACGGGAGGTTACACGCAGACGTGATTTAATTTCGCCGAGTGCTGTCGTGCAGCCCACGGAAGGTTCGGGAGCTGAACGGTGGCTTCACCTGGAGCTTAGCTAGCGCGCCGGGCAGTGTCCTTCTGGCTGCGTGTTCCCTATCGCTGCCAGGAGACAAGGACTTGTTTTAGTTGGAACTCTTAAAGCAGACACTACATAGTTTAGATTAACTCCTTTCAGTAGTACAGCGTCAATGTGTTATTCCCTTAACATAAAACATACAGATTATGTAAATCTGTAATAAATACTATTTTGAAGTGTATAGTAATCAGAAATCTTTCAGGGCAGGATGGAATGGAAACTGAGAAATATTGGAGAGTAAACATTCCAACGCTCATTCCTCTGCTTCTTCCTGGCAGAGCGGAGCGCGGCGCTGGCTGCCGCCGGGCTGTCAGCGCTCCGGCTCCGGGCTTCGCCCCGCGGCTCTCGGGCAGAGGGGGCTTCGCAGGAGCCGGGACCGACGCGATCCCGTGCGGGGCGCCCCCCGCTCCGCTGCCCCCGTCGCACCGCCCGTGAGCGGGAGCCTGACCGCTCGGAGAGGAGGGCAGCTCTTTCTGCACCTCTCATCATAGGGTGCGAACTAGGTGTGTGCGGTGGTTCAGGCTTGCAAGGCCAAGCAATCCGATTGGCGAAAGGCGGCCGTGCAACTTGCTTACGACTCGTTTAGCATTCCAGACTCTAGTCCCTGTGCAGAGCCGAGGACAACGGAGCCCCGGAACCCAGCAGTAATTGGCACAGCTCTGCGTTTCCCTTGCTTTTGCGGGCCTCGCCCGGCTGCGGCGGCGGATTGGCTCCGGCCGGGCAGCTTCGCTCGGAGCTGCCTCTGCGCTGCGGCTGTACTCTGGGGGTCACTGGGAGCGGGGCGCCGGCCGAGGAACCTTTGGGGCCGGCGGGCCCGGCAATTCCGCGCACCACGGGCGAGCTCCGCGAGCTACCACGGGTAGCCACGGGCCTGCTGGCCGCCCCCCGGTGCCGCCCGCCGCGCCGTGCGCTCTCCCGTGGGGTGCCTCTGGATTCCCACCTCGGCCAGCTGCGGGCTACACGTCGCGGAGGGGCCCGGGAGTGTTGGGCTTGCCATGCGGCCGGCGGGAAGGAGGGATCGCGGCAGGCAGGCGGAGGGAAGGAGGGAGGGAAGGAAGGAAGGAGGCCGGGCTGATTAGCATGCAACAGCGCTCACAAGCCCGGCTCCATTGTTTTAACACCTCCCCTCTCCTCCGCGCCAATCTGTCACCGTTCAGCAGGCGAACGCTGCTGCCTCGAATGCTGCTCTTCTCAAATGAGACGGATAATTAGCTGCCCCGCACGAATGGCGCACTCTTCTCACCCCTGATTGCTATCACCTTCTTGCTCCTGGCAGTTTTGACACCTCGTAATCAGCCTGCTGCTTTTTCTCTTTTCTTTCCTTATTTCTGTTTTTTTTCCTCCCCCTTCCTTCAGTGCTTTTTTTTTTTTTTTTAATGCAATCCCAGTTGCCATTTGGATTGAGACTCCTCTGTTGAGTTAACCTTGTATGATTGCGGGGGAAAGGGGAATGTACGGAAGGGAGGAAAAGAAATCGCCTCCTCTGTCTCATCTGCTGGGTGGGGGCAGGAGCAGCTCGGCGTGATCTTCCTGTGCTTTTGTGCGGCGGGGAATAGCCCCTTCTGAGCATCTCCCGAATTAACATTAGCTCGGATGGGAAGAAGTGTCCGAGTCTCCGCTCAGTTAATGGAGTTCTCAATTCTCAGTTAGTGGAGAAAAGGCTGTGTATCTCCTTTTAGTTAAATTTAGCAAAACGAGGAGGAGATTTTAAAAGTAAGTTCGCACGGCCTGAAAGCTCTCTCTTCCTGCCGGTAGATACGAAAGGCATTCAACTTCTCCCGAGGCTCTGAGAGTGAATTAACCGCGTTCCATGGGAGGCAGGAGAGGGCTCTGATTGGAGTGCAAAGGAGCAGAGGGAACTTCTTCCCTTCTGATTCCAGAGAAATAAGAGATCTCAATTAATGCTCTGGTGATTTCTGTGAGGTCTTAAAAAACAGAGGACTCGTGGAATCTGTCATAGGAGCGTTTTCCTATCCTCTAACAAGCAATGACAGTCTAATTACTGGAGCTACGAGCAGCTGTCGAGTTCGCCAGAGAGACAGAGGAGCTACATGTGTTGTGCCCAGCCGCCAGCACGGAGCCCTCGCACCAGGCTGAGGCAGCCCCTCGGAAACTCCCTGATAGGAAGCGCTTTGCTTCCCTGCCTTCAAGTCAGAGCCAGAGTTCCGTGACTCGTGGCTGGGAACGGGGGCTCCCATGTCGTGCGCAAGTCACCACAGGGCGGCTTGGAGAGTGAGCCCACCTGGCAGCCCTGCATTACCCCGGGGTGCTGCAGGCTCCAAGGCAGCCAAGAGTAGCCTTGGCCAGCAGGTCTGCCGCTCTCTTTTCTCCCGAGTTCTACTTTCTTCCTTCAGATTATTGTTATTATTATTATTATTATTAACGAATTCACATTTCCTATTTGGATTCAACCTCCTTTGCCTGAGCTGAGCTTGTGTGGAAGGGGGAGCGGAGGGGAGGAATGCTGAACCTCCCCTGGTGAGTGTAATAAAGCAGATGTCCCTGCTGGCAACAGCAGCCTCCTCCAGGAAAGCTGTATGAGTGGGGCCTACTCAGGGACAGCACTCACCTCCCACCTCAAATCCCTCGCAACTGCTTGGTGTGAGTTTTGCTATTCCTCAAACTCGGACTGAGCCTATCTGGACTCCCTCGGGCAGGCAGTTTTAAATACCCAGTATGAAACAGGTCCTTCAGATGCTGCCCCTGGCAGGAATGAGAGAGGGATGGACTGCGCTGGGTGAGTAGGTTTCAGCCAACTGTGTCCCTCAGCTCAGCCCAGCAGGGCCTTGGGCTGCTGCTGGGTTCCCACCTCTGCTGATAGTGGTGCTCATGGGAAAAACGTTTTCATGCACGGAGTGGTGTGTGCCAGGGGACAGATGACTTTATTTGCTTTAAAGGTGAATCACAGTTGATGCAGGCTTAATAACGTGAGCTTCTGACCTAGGATTTCATGGTAGAGAGGACAAGTTGGTTTTATGTTGGTTAGGCTGGAGATGTGCAAATTCCCACCTTCCCTCCCAGCGCTGGAAGCTCTGCCCCCCAACAGCCTCATGGTTGTACTGCAAGCTACATCACAGCCACACAGGCAGTTGGGTGCTGAACGGACCCTCAGCACTGCTACCAGTGGGGGCTGAGAGCTGCTAACAGGAACAAAGTCTTTCTCCAGGTCACAACGCAGATGTGCAGCGTGCACTGCTGTTTATTACAGTACACACTGTTGACAGCCAGTCACAAACATGAGATATTTAAAATAGAGCAAATAACTGCAGAAAAACCCATTCTAAAAATTATGCAGGTGTATTTTTTTCCCCACAGAAAAAGGTCACCTGCAAACAAATCTTTAAAAAGTGTTGTACTTTGCTGCTATAAAAATATTAATGCTAATTTTATAAAAAATTAGGGCTAAAAACTACACTCAGTTCAAATGCCAAAAGCTCTAAGTCACCCAGTATCATTAATATAAATTGTTTAGTTAAAAAACCCATGACTTTTAAATTTGAGCCCAACAAATCTATAAAATGTGCAAACTTTATCAAAATGCAATGTTTCAACTAAATGCATTTAAATTCCATTGAGAAAACCATTCTGCATATTCAGGTTAGAACTGAAGTAAGTCACTGAGATTTCTGTGCTTAGGTTTTCCTCTGGCCTGTCTAAGCTGTAACAGACTTGAACGATCCTTCATAGCAGACCAGAAGGAAAACTAAACCTTTCCATCTTTGATATTCTTACCTTTTGGGACACTTCAGCCTTTTCTTACTCCATCCTTCATACTAATATTTTCCATGAAAGTAGTTTAACTAATGATTAATGCCAGAAAGGTACATTAACACAATTGTTATTTTTTATAACAAATTTTATAATAGAAACTAAAAATGAGAGCCTACCTCTCCTTCGTGTTCCCTTCAATTAGAGAATCATATCACTGGTTATTGAGAAGAAATCCTAGCAGTACATCAATTTCTCTTCCAGATTAAAGACTTAATCCTGCAAATCTGTACTGATAAATATAATCATGACTTCAAGCCTATGCAGGCAAACATTAACTGGGGAAAAAAAAAAGCTTTTAACTACAATCCCAATGGCAATATTGAAGCATGACAAGCAGTAACGCAAATTACAGTACTGTCTTACAGTTGCATTTTACCTCGTCAAACGACAATGAAAAAAATGTGCTTATCTGACAATTTCAATTAGTTCTTGTTACAAGAAGTCTTAATTCTTAAATTCTTAGCAAATCTATTCAGTAATAATAAAACAACTCAAATGTATGCAAAAAACAGTGACCCACTGAATTCTCATATGTTAAGACTGTACTTTAAAGTGGGAATTCAGATGCCGAAGAAAATCTTCCTTAGATGTTAGAGATGGGGGGAAAACTTCTCGACAGAATTCACATACTCCACGCTGATTCAGTTCAGAGTCTGTATAAGTTTGTGCCAGCAAATCACTGTCCCGAGGCTGCCAAATGAGCTAAAAGAAACAGAAAATGATTACTGCTGTAGTTTATGATGTGAATTACATTATGCTGTGGTTTATATCTGTATTAAAAATATACCGCCTCTTTAAACTAGGTTTACTTAACGTATGCCTGGCAGAGGCATTAACTGGAGAATTCTCACTTAAGAAAGACAAGATTTTTTCTTTTTAAGTTCATAGACATACTACCTTTGCAAATACTTAATGTTTTGCTTTAACATCTATTAATGATAAATGATGCAGTGAGCAGAATTCTGTAATATTGGTCTGATAGAGATTTTTTAACATCGTATTTCTATTTTTTTTTACTGTAGAAGTCTTAGTACATAATATCCATCTTTAGTACCATTTTTTTTAACCTTAAAATAAATATTTATTGTACAAAGGTAATATGAAGTGTTTCTATTCTCATCGGTATACATCTGATTTTCAGTTTACTTGCAAAGCAACTAGAGCAATGTCATATGATCTAAGCTACTTAATTGTTCTGACTGCCGTTTAGTCTCAAGTAGTCTCAGTTTTGGGATTCTTTCTGCCATGACAGCAATGAACTCAATAGGGCCATTGGAATATCCACCCATACACTCAGGCAAGTCTGCAAACTATGCTAAATTTGGTTCAGCAGCTGTTGCTGCTCTTGCTACCTGAGCGAGCTAGTTGAAAGCCAGCAGGTCTGTTTACAGTCCATGGGGACATGAGCCTGAGTGTATGCCAGTTATATGGCTTGATAATACCCAGTATTCAGAAATTCAGTTTTCAAAGCAAAGTTAAAAATAAAGTTTCACTACTTCAGCATTAGCAACAAACCCAATATAAAATACATAGCTATGTTACGTGACCAGGACAATTAGGTTTTGAGCAAACTGAAAATCAAATGCATGCTGTTGTGGCTGCAAAGTAGACAGAACAGCAGCAAATTGGTATCAGATCTATGTGGGACTGGAACCTGGAAAGGGAGAGTGCCCTCCAGTTTTCTGGCCCATCTTTCCTCTCTATAGCTTAAATCACATGTGGAAAGGTGAGCAAGAATACTTCAGAAAGTAGTTTCTTTCGAAATTCTGAAGTTCTAGCTATCCATTCTAATCCAAGAGTTTTAGTTTTCAGGAAATTATCATGTCAAATACTTAGAATCTGTTGTACCCCCCTGCCATGGTAATTCACTGTACAATGAACATGGCTTTCACAGTGGTTGATCCCTGTATTTAAATCAGCTACAACTTTCTGGAGTCAATTCCTTGTGCTCTCTGTATTTAAACAGTGTTTAGCTTATCAGATAGTGGTAGCAGATTTACCATCTTTCATTATGGTCAGCAATCCATATAATTAAATTGGCTAATTAGTAATTAAGTGCAATCACACCACTTCTTTTCAGCTAAAAGAGCCTACTTACTGTACATTGCTGGTGTAAATTGCATATTAAATTTTCTAGACACAGACACACTCAAACATCCCTCCAGGAATGTGTTTAGAATTACTTGTTTTTAATACCAAATCATGTAAATTGCCATTTAAAAATATATATTGTAAAAATCCCACTAAAGACACAATAAGATTTCCAGTCTTGGAACCACGACATAGAAAGAAAGATACTCATCCAGCAAAATGCTGAAACAAGCACTTAACTTTAATTTCTTTCTCTGCGTGTTCAGCATGTGCTTAAAATGCTTTTCAGAACAGAGATTTATTTAAGCAGATGTTTCATTTCTAAAATAAGATCTAGATTAAGATCAATAGACTACTGACTTGATTTAAAATCATGAACATTCTTAGAAATGTTTTTGGCTGAAACAACCTCCGCAAATTGTGAATACTGGTAAACATAATGCATCTCTATGCAAGTCTCAATTAACAGTAGTATGTAAAATCCTAGGTCCACTAATAGCCACGCTTATTTTAATCTGCTGCTCTTTTCAGTCACTTTTTTTTTTTTTTAAGTTACATCCGAAGAAAACAGTACTGAGTTTTCACATTTAGTATCCACAAAGAAGGAAAGAGCTAAATTTATTACAGCAACTGAGAGCAGTTCCAAGAACTTACTGTTGCCAAATCTACTGCATTTATGGGGTTTTCCATTTTATAAGTTAACATATGTAGTAAATACTTGAAAGTTTTATCTACACCAGGAAAAAAATAGTCAGGTATCTCATTCCTCCCTACTGGAGCTTTACCAGTGGCAGGGATGATGGCACTGGAACTACTCACTAAAAATGCCATAAAAATTCCAGGAACAAATATTATTCATAGTTGTTGTTGTTGTTGTTTTAATTTAATACAATAAATAGACATGTATGCAAGTAACATTAAAAGGAACCTAGTGTTTTAATCTATATATATATTATCTGTAAATCCAATTCACTAGGAATTGGAACTGAGTCCCATTCACTAGGAAAAGTACATTAACAACTATTTTGTAGGCAGCTAATTAAAGGTGATGGATGTTGAGAGAGAGAGAGATGTATATTTAATAAATTCTGAAGTAATATTGGCTTAGTTCAAACAAACTTCTGGATAAGATGCATTCTGATCTATATCCTGTATGCTCTATAGTGCCATGTAGATATGACTTATTAACACTGAAATAGTTCTCATTGCCTTTTTTCCCCCAGATGTTACACTTACTACATTTTCTCCACAAAGTAAATAATTTACATTTTAAGTGGTGGTCCCAAATTAATTTCTTTACTGCAGAAATACCAATGATCAAACCAAAACCTTATTGCTACTCAACCACAATTTTTCTCCACTTTTTGAAGCTGCATACTCCCCTATCAATTTATAATCACGTACCAGCTGTTTCACTGGCTGTAATATACAATGCAGGGTGCCATCTATTGAAAAATGAATACACAGACTAACTAGTAAAAGAGCACGCTGGAGAGAAAATACAGATAAAGAGAAGAATAACAAGGAATGGAGCGAATGCTTCACAGCTCTGCAGGAATTCTACCAGTAACAAAATAAGTGAATTAATTTGTTTAACTCAGGCACAACTTTAACAGAAGATCCAGTGAAAAATAAAGCATAATAAAAAACTAAAATTAGTAAGTTAGTATAATTGAGACCCCCTATGTGACAGACAGGTATTTAAAACACGTTTTAAAAACTCAGGCATATAGTTCAAAATAACGGAAACAGTAAACTTTCTGTAATTAGACTTTCTTTCAAAACTGATTTGCAATGGAAAACTGAACTCAGTCTGGGTAAGTTTTAGCAGAGGAAATCATCATAACTAGGACATACTACAGGTGCTTTCCAAACTCTAGTTTTGCATGTCATGAAGTGATAAAATTGAGAGGCAAAGCTCTTTTGCTGCACGTCATTAGGAAAAAACACAAAATCATATCAAAGTAAATAGTGAAAATATTCAAAATCCACCCTCTCCAAATTCCTAAACATCACTATTTGTGTAGTTTTGAGAAGCTCTCCTTTCACAAGGTCTGAGAAAAGCCACAGAAATACAATAAATAAATCAATTGGAGTCTATAAAGTTCTGCAATAATTATGCGAGCAGTTTCAGTTGAGACAGAATGCTACACAAAGGAAGCAAAATATTCAGAGACACAATTGATAGAAGCTGCCAAACCATTATTATGCCTTATAGTAATGGGGCCTTGCTTTCAGGAACTTCCCTGGACTTTGAGTAGTTAGGACTTAAATTCAAGCTCAAAATACCTATGCGAACGTGAATTATTTTAGTGTACTTCCATACATTTGTCAAAAGAAATAATCACGCTTTCCTATTTGACTGCTTAAACTATGACAAACATATTTTAAGTTGTTGTGGACAGTAGGAATAGAGTTCTGTTTATAAATCAGATCCAGATAAAAAGTAGATCATTTTTTTCCCCACAGTGTACATTTATGTTTAGTTTCCTAATTAATTTGTCATATTCTCTGATGCATACCTGAAACAATTAAAACAATTACACGCCCTATTCATCTGAGATAATAGGAGAAAGTGATCTAGGTGACAGCTTAGGATTATTGAAAACTTTGAAACAAATATAGAAGCAATTAATATCTACACAAACTGAAATTTGGGTGCATATCTATTTAAAGTCCTGTCCTATTTCCCTGGAAAAGTGCCTTGTACATGTATTTCAGCATCAGTGAGAAGAACAGGCAAAATGTATTGTCTTAAACAGCAGACTGGTGAGATATCTCAGAGAATATGTTAATCCAGTCTCAAAGACCTTAGCAATACGGTTGATCGCATTATTACCTTCTTTCAAAGTCTACAGTATTTAGAGAAAGATACCTGATGAGGACCTCTGACGGTTGTTCCAGCAGCTTCTAATGAAGGAAAAATCACTTCAGGTGCACCTTGGCTTGCGTGCTTAGATATAAACGTGAAAGCAGTGTCTGCTGTTTTCAAGCATGTTTTGTCACGAGTATTTTCTATGGGCGTGTTTGCATGATTTGGAGGGTTTGTTTTGTCAACAGTAGTTAAGCTTTGTAAAGCTGAGGTCACGAGATCAACTCCATGAGCTTCAAATGAGTTAGGTTCCAATTTACTGAGGTTAACAGCACGGTCTCTGTGCTCCCGGTTAAAATGATGATCTTGAAGCATGTTTTCAGCTATACCAGAGCAAGGAACTGTTACTTTTTCCTGAGTGCTCTGCAAGAAAGCAGAGTCATTGTCTGTAGGTGGAAACTTGACATTAAATTTAGAAAGTGATTCTACAGAGTTGTTGTCCTCATCTTGGCCCACTCCTCTTGGTGTGATAGATGTGATGCATGATGCACCTCTATTTATATCCTGTATAACCCGAGGCTTAAAAAGCTCTTCTGCTTGTTCATCAGTTTTATCAGTACACTGTATTGGCATGGAAAACTGTATTTCTGTGAAGAAAGAATGAGGAGAACATTAAGAAAAATATCATTATTATTAAAGGTGTGATATTTTTCCCCCACGAGATTTTTGATTTTCCTTCTTGGCTTTTTAACCTTTGTTTTGTCTCTCTGAAATCGGTTCAAGGTGCATTTCTCTTCCATAAACATTTGCTCCATCTCCAAAAATATCAGAACAGAAATAAAAGAAAATAATTCTGTTTTAATAATTATATTTCTATTTGATTTATGGCTACAAACACTTCCATTTAATTGTAACCTACATCGTCCCATACGCTTAACATATACTTGCATGTTCTGACAGAAATAAGAGTTGGAACCAAAAATATTTCACACAGTGCCGAGAACAATCTAGGCCCCATGAACAAGATTTGAGAAGGCATTCAGGTACCAAACTCCCAGCAAATTCCAAATTAGGAAAATATTTAAAGTGAGCAGCTATTCAGAAGAGGGATCATATTTCCCCGTGCTTCAAGAATCTCATGGTCATTTCTGGCACTTTGTACATTCATTATGCAAAGATCTTCTGATAGCAGTCAGATACTGTAGCAAATGTGAGCTACAGAAGTGATAGATGTCACACAGACTAAATGTATATGACGTAAAACTTTTTGCACAGATGAATTAGGCATATTTTTAAATAAAATAAATGAATTCTGGAATAAACTGCCAAGCACCCACTCCTCAAACAATAAAGTTTAGTAGTATAGACTCAGAACGTAACAATACAGTTTCAACTTGGCCCTTTGAAGCTACAGGCTTCAAAGACAAATTTAAATAAGAAGAAAGTGCTGGAATTTATGTGTTTGCTTCAACAATGTAAATTTGGCAAGTATTTTTTGACACTTAAGAATCTGAGCTTACTATCAAGCAAAGCTAGTAACAATACCCACAATAGCCTTCATTATGTTAAATATAAGCATTAGCAGAACTGGATGTCCAGGATCTCTTCCATCAGCTGCATAAATCAAGTCTGTCCTTTGTTTTCAGGGAAGTATTGGGTTAAGCTCTTGTCCCATATAACTAAACACTATGTAGAAGTCTGAATGAGGAAGTCTATAAAATCAGTACTCTGACTGTCCCTGGATCAGAAGTTTTCCTCTAACAAATATGAGGCTACAGACATTCGTAACAGACATTTTTTGAACTGACAGCTAAATTAAAAGCAAGCAAGTTCTGTATTTCACACAGTACGATGGGATATCACATGTAGTAAGTGCCTGCCTCTCACTCCAAGGGACAAAACAATTCTAAGAGTTACTGATGTGACGACTGTCTTCATAGCATGTGATTTGGAGCATTCGTCATAGAATGCCAAAACTGGCGGTGCGTTTTCTTGGTGAAATACTGAGCACCATGTGAACAGACTTGAAAAAGGCAGATGGTAAACAGTGGAAGTACTTCTATGTATGTGTAATTTACAGTATTTTCAAATATAAAGCAAAGCTTTCAAACAGTTGAATCACAATAAGAGCTTAAGTATGATATTACCAGTTTCAGGTTCTGGCTTTATTTTAAATTTACTCAGTTGGTCTGTTTGTTCTCTGGCTAGCATACATATTCGATGACACTCTTCTTTCATCTCCTGAAAAATAGTCTCCAGATTCTCCCTAGAAGATTGAAATTGTAAATTAGACCCTCAATCAATTCAGCTCGTTGTGACCTTTATCGTAGTCACACCCACAAACCAGAGAAAAACAATAGTGTAAGCTACTTTTCTTGGATACCTTGTTCTTCAGCATATGTATATACGTTTCTGTTCTCAGAAAAAAAGCAAGCAGAAAAGAGAAAAACAATGTAGTCAAGGAGCTGTTTAGTCATAATATATAAACACATTCAAGTTGAGGGTCTGACTCTGCAGGGACCCAGAAACAATCCAGTCTTTACACATTTTTTCCAGTTTCCTCAGATATCAGTGGGACAGGTTGTGCAAGACACTGCTTATATTCCATTCTAGGCAAAATAGGACACTGCTGCTGCTATGAACATTAATTAATTTTTCTTTTTTTTTTTTTTTTTTCAAGCTTTACAGGACAAGGAACACACAAGTGTTTGTTACTGTCCTTCCTTCTCTGTCTACTTCACATCTTGCACCTGTGCTAGTAAACTAATTCCTCTGCTTTATAAAACATGACTCAACTTTCTTTTTTTTTTAACTTTTTTTTTTGAGGAGTATTTTTTTATTACATCTTTTCTAGATCATATGATCATCCAAAATTCAGTTATCTGTGCTAAGACTGACAGACATTGCTCTTCATGCTGATTTGAGATTTTTTTGCCCTAAGGCAAGACATTGAGGAATTTTGATAAATTTGCTGAATACTTTATATTTCTAAGCACAGATATTATAAAATTGACTTTCATGAAACGTTAAGTTTGTGTGTATCTTTGTCTCAAAAAAAAAAGCTCACGGGGTTGTTTTTCTTTATCTCAATACACTGTTTTCCTTTCTATTGCTACTGCTTTTCATAAAGCAATCAGGAATGTCATGAGTTGTGCTCTTACTCCCCTCGTGCTTCTCTTTTTGAAGACAAACATCTACCTGGACCTCATTTCAAAAAAGAAACAGAAGCTAAAGTTCTGACCATTTTTCAAGTGTTTCAATAAATAAGAAATGGGAAAATTCTCTTAACATGTTTTTAATTGGAGCATTAAAATACACATATGATTAGATAAACCAATCTTCATTTGCTAGACATGTGTGATAACATAATCTTTCTACAGAAAAAAAGTTATATTAGAATCACAGAATCTTTTGAGTTGGAAGAGACCTTTAGAAGTCATCTAGTCCAACTCTCCTGCAGTGAGCAGGGACACCTACAGCTCCATCAGGTGCTCAGAGCCTGGTCTTGCCTGACCTGGAGTGTCTCCAAGGATGGGCATCCACCAGCCCCCTGAGCAACCTGTGCCAGTGCCTCACCACCCTTCTCATAAAAAACTTCTTCCTTATATCCAATCAAAATCTCCCCTCTTTTAGTTTAAAATCATTTCCTCCTGTCCTATCATAACAATAAAGAGTCCGTTGCCCTCCTTCTTATAGCCTTCTCCTTAGAAAGGCTGCTCTCAGGTCTCTCTGGACCTTTCTCCAGGCTGAACAGCCCCAGCTCTGTCAGCCTGTCCTCATCGGGGAGATGTTCCATCCCTTGGATCATTTTTGTGGCCCTCTGGATGCACTTTAACAGGTCTACATCTCCCCTGTACTGAGGACTTCACATCTGGACATGTGCTCCAAGTGAGGTCTCACCAGCGCAGACTAAGGGAGTTATTTAAGAGGTAGACAGGAAACAGGCAGAAGTTTTTATTCTTTAGATATATATAAATAAAGACAATAAAGTCTTTATCACAGTCTTATTTCCCTTTTCTTATTACACAGCAGTAATGATTCAGTCTAAAGATCCCTCTGGTTCACCTAGTCTATGTCAGAGCATGGCCAAAATCAGATGCTTAGGCAAGAATAAAAGATAGCTAGAATTCACAATAGTTTTTTCCCTAATTCTCTCCAATCCTCATCTTCAAGAATATTCTACTTAACATTAGCAAAGGTTGTAAAAAGCGGTGTTATTGTCTATTTTGTGAAAAGTGCAAACCTAAGAGCATGGTCAATATCTTTCTCAAACATCGGCTGAAGGAAGAATGTTTGCTTAGGAAATACACTGCTTTTGGTCCCTTGGTCATTGTCAGGGCTGGATGGTTTCAGTTTACAGATAAACCTGGTTTCAAGCCCTCTCATTTAGGACAAGAATTATTTCTTCACGCTATCAGACCTCCTCCTGTCAGTGCAGCAGGCTACTCTGCTGCGCTGCCATCAGTTAATCCATTACAGTTGTATGTTCCTGTTCTGAAGAAAGCTAATGCAAGGGAGTTAATGCTTATCCAAAACCCAGCATTAAAGTCCACTGTAATATCCCGTAGAGTTTAACCTCCTGCTGAACCCAGCAGCTATTCTTCTTCTCGGCTTATCTGTACATACTTGCAAAGCTCTTTTGTGATTCTACATGGCTTTATTTCTTTCCAACATCAGCTCTTTGACCTCTGGGGCTCTCATGCCCTGCTGCTCCCCAGTACTTTTTAAGGTACTGTGCAGAAATGATGGAAAATGAGAGGTCATAATTAGTAGCAGAAAAGACAATTGTAAGTAAATTGCAGAAATAATGCAGAAGTATTTACCTTTCAGGCAAAGGTGAAATACCAGAAATCCCTATAGATAATTCAGGCTTATCTGGAACAACTTTCTTACTTTTCACCTTGAAGTAAAACATGAAATTATGGATCACAGGTTAGCATATTCATTTTGCTCTTCAGCCTGATATGATTAGAATTGCTGCAGTACCCTTATCCAGTCCTTCTAGAAGCACCCAAAACATTCACAAAACAACAAAAGAATTTTTTTACTATTTTTGTGAAATCCCTATTTTTAGTTCAGCTTTTAGCAACTCAGTGTTGCATTCCTCTGCTCATACTTCCTAAAAGGAAACTGGTTCTAAGAATCTTCCTTCACTGTAAGTCTGTTTCAATCATATATAAGATTCAGATTATGTATTATGTATAAGCTCGTTACTGAGGCACCCAGAAATTCCAGTTCTTAGAAAAAAAGTAATCAATTTATTCACAAAAACAATCAATGAAGACATCAAAAGCGAATATGTCAAGAGTTCTCTCGGGTTTTCAGATGTTCTTAGCTTTGACTACCACCTTGTGGTTCGTTCTAGCATTACATTGCTTTAAGTCAATGCCAGGTATTAAAAGATTTTACAATAAACGGCCATTAAGCTGTAGTTCCGCTAAATCTACATTACCAGATGGCCTGGAAATGTTCATATGTGCTCCACACCAGACTCATAACATGATCATATGTCTGTCAAATTAGCTGGTTTCAGTGATACACTGCTTATAACCACTGACTCATAGCCTACCTGGTGGTAAAGTGCAACTGCGGCTCCTATTGGCACATTTGAGCTGCCCTATTCCTAACGGCACTGGTTACAAATGTCTGCTGTAAGACAAAAATGCTTGGAAAATCTGATAGCAACAAGTTCTGTGTTGCTGTGCTCATTCTCTTACCTATATTCAATTTAAATTAGCTAGCCAAAAGGCATTGACAAGATTACATTTACACCAGTGACTGCAGTGTAGTTATCCCCAAACTGTATTTCACCATGGATGCTATTCTGTAACAAAAATAGAGCGGGGTAAAAGCAAAGAAATCAACTCAATCTTGATGAAAACTCCCAACTGAAGATTATAAAACTGAAATGCTGATCTCCAGTTTTTGCAAATGCTAGTATAATGATGACAGAATGTAAAAATAACTAACATAAAACCAACCGATGTATTGAATAGTTGAGAGTTTCCTATGTGCTTTACGTGCTTTAACAATTTCCTAGTAACGATATAATGTTGAAATTTAAAATCATTTTCTTAGAATAATTAGCATAAACGTGTTTGAAAAGAGTAGTATTTTACAGAAGATTGTTTTTTCATTTCATCTCCATTTGGTTTCTTATCTTACCTCTATTTTGTATGTTGGCATCTGTGTACCCTTTTGGACATCATTCAATTCTTTCAATTTGTTTTTCAGAGTTCGTATTTTATCTTCTTGGTTGGAAATAATAGACATAAGCTTCCTTTCCTTTTGACTGTTTCTGTCCTCAAGTTGCTTCACCTTCATGCTCTCATTTTCTAACTGTTCCTAAAAAACAATTTAAGAAATTCCAGTATATTTACTAGAACTGAGGCTTGTGGAATGTCACTATTCAGTGGCCTAAAAAAAGCTAAATTAAGCTTCTCCAACTTAAGAAAGGGACAGTCTTATTTACTACAGTATTAATTTTGAACTGATAGTAAGGATCTTCTACTGCTAAACACAAATATATCTGATAATATATGATTAGTCAAAACAATTGAATTTTCTGAATTTATGACAGTCATATTAATGTTTTTAGTCATTTTACTGCTGAAAGTGCCCCTGAGGAATCCCAGACCCTGCAGATAAGAGAGAATTTGGATATCAGAAGGAGGTTCTTCACTGAGAAGGCAGTTGGGCACTGAAATATGCTTCCCAGAGAAGTGGTCATGGCACTGAGCTTTCTGGAGTTCAAGAAGCATCTGAACAACACTCTCAGATATATCATATTTTTGTGTGGCCCTGCATAGAGCCAGGAGTTGGACTCAGGATCCTTATGGGCCCCTTCCAACATAGGATATGCTATAGAAGAGTGGGGAAAGGAGGAATTCCCCTCGGTTGAGGAGAATCTGGCCAAAGAATGTCTATGCAAACTTGATACACACAAATCCATGAGCTCCAATGGGATGCACCCACAAGTGCAAATGGAGCTGGCAGAAGCGATTGCCAAGCTGCTCTCTATTGTCCTTGAGAAGTCATGGTGAAATGGAGATACGCCTGCAAACTAGAGAAAAGCCAACGTCACTCCTGTCCTCAAAAAGGGCAAGAAGAATGAGCAGGGAAACTACAAGGCAGTCAACCTCCCCTCCATCTGTGGGAAGGTGATGGAATTGCTTATTCTGGATGTCATCTCCAAGCAAGTGGAAGAAAAATTGGTTATCAAGAACAGTCAATATGAATTCATCAGGGGGAAATCATGCTTAACCAATCTGGTAGCCTTCTATGATGTCATGACTGGCTGAGTAGATGGGAGGAAAGCAGTGGATGTTTGCGTAGTTGGACTTCAGCAAGGCTTTTGACACTGTCTCCCACTACATCCTTGCAGGTAAGGCTTGGAAGAGTGGGATAGATGATTCAACAGAGATGTGGATAAAGAACTGGCTGGCCAGCAGGGCTCAGAGGGCTGAGTTCAGTGGCACAGAGTATACTTGGAGGCCTGTAGCTAATGGTGTTCCCCAGCAGTTGGTACTGAGTCCGGTCTTTTTCAACATCTTCACTGATGATATTATAATAGGTCATCGATAGTCTGTAAAAAGGTCATGAAATGTGAAGAGAAAAGAAGAAAATAAAAAGAACACTGTTCTTTTGAGAAGAATGTTTGTTTTATTTACAAATGGGATCTAAATAGATTGATGTCCGTTTGGAGATTAGATAGGTAAAGGTTAACCTAAACTATAAGATATTGAGATATTATCAGTGAGACAACCAAAATGAGATACTAACAGCCGTGACGGATCCATAGCTAGTCTATGCACACACATTGGGTGGTTAAGCATGGATGCGTGCACATACAGCTGAAACAACAGTTACATGCCAAGTAACTATTCCACCTACCTAAATTAAGTCAGAAAAATAGCATAGAAGGCAGTTTTTTCTTTAGTATCAGTTGTGACTTTATACAGTAAACTTAAGGTCAGAGTTTCAATGCAATTCTGGACTTGCTGGAATCTCAGAGATTCAGATTAAACTTCTTCTCAGGGGTTCAAAATATTGTCTAGAAATAGGCTCTTCCTATCCTAGAAAAAATCCTCTCTCACGCCAATTTGCAGATATTACAAATCCATTCATTCAAACACCTTTTAAGTGACAAAGTATTTCTGCTTTAGGTATTGCAAACTTCCTAAATTTCTAAGGCTTGGGGACCTTTCCTTCCACACTTTGCACTTTTGGGGGAATATATAGAACTTACAGGACAGATCAAACACTTTCTGTAGTCTTCTAATGTAGAATCTGTACACTGCATCACTGTAGGTAAGAACCCAGGGAAGTGTGTGAATGAAATAGCAGCAAAAAGGAAAAAATGAGAAAGATTTCTGTTCTGAAAAGAACAAGGTGTCTGAAGATTTTAGCCCAATAATCCTAAAGAACATAAATTTCTATAATTGATGCTGCAGCAGCTACATTTAATTTTTTCAAGAGGCATGAGAACATTAAAGGCACAAAAAGTAAAAAGCATGTAAAGGAAATATCTGATGAATGAGAGAAGACAATTAGATTTATCAATGTGGGAAAAAATATCTTCTGTTAAGAGGAGATTGAGGCATGCATAAAAGTATTTTCAAGAGATCTGAAAATACTTTGAAAAAAATTAAAGCAGAGAAAAAGCTGGACATTGTTTTACAACTATACACTTTTCCATATTACTTAAAGACTACAAAAGTCTGAAAAATATTATGCAGCATGAGAATAAAAATAAAATCATAGCAGCTACAAAGAAAACTTCAGTATTGTTTTGTGTATGAAAGAAACATGAAAGCATATAGCAGCTCAGCTCATGACCTGTGTACTTAATACATGAAGCCACAGTTAAATATGAACAGGGCTACACTATTATTCTTCTACCTGAGTAATACAGACTAAATCAGAAGTAGTTACCAGGAGGTACCAGGGAGCGCTCTGATCATCTAAGACAAAACAAAACAAACATAAGGTATGGTACGAGGAACTGATTTTTGCTGTTCCAGTAATAGAAGGGCAGTAACATTCCATGGTGCAAGTTCACAAGCACCAAGCCACACGGAGCCACTGTTTGGTCACTGAGTTCCCAAATATTCCCTGGTCAAATTCAATTTCCATTAAAACAAACAAACAAAACAACAACAACAAAAAAACCAACAGCACACAGCTACTCTGGTATTCTTTGAAAATAAGCTGCTTGGAAACCCAAACGCCTTGGAAAAAAGCTTATGTCAAACACAACAGTTGCCCTTGAACAACTCTATCTTAATGACAGTAAATTAATTCTTTCACTGAGCCTGTGATATAGCATTGATCAGCACACAGCATTTATCCATTTGGAACTATTACAGCTCCAAACAATGTGCACTTTCAAAAGCTTCTGGACATCTAGGAGCATTGCAGTAACGGCCAGTAGCTTTCTTCCATTTCTTCCACCTTCTCCTGCAGGCAGCAGGGACAACATTTAAGAGATGAAGAAAAGTTATGTGGGAATCAATGTTGGAAGAGCCTTTCAACAAGTTTCAGTGAAGATATATCAGACTTAAGTCACCATTTTTGTGCAACTTAGGGATATCATCCTAGGGAAAAGATTGGAGATTGCTTTTGGGGATCTTGTAGTAATACAAGCCTTCACAGCTCAATCATCTTACAGTTTCTAATACTGTCAGAGTTTGGATTTTGCAAACAATGTGGTAACATTATAAAGTGTGTTAAGTTCTAGGTTAATGCTGTGACAGGTATGCCACATAGGTGGTACCTGCTCAGTTAAGTACTTGGCTGCACAATGTATCTTTTAAGAATGCTTGTATTAGCACACAGCAAAGAGGTTATTTCTGTATTATGAAAAGATTAACTCTTCAAATCATGACACTAGCTCTGGGGAGGTTTATCTCACAGAACATTCAAGTTGGAAGGGACCTCAAAAGGTTCTCCAAATCAACCTACTAATCAAAGCAGCAGTCATGATGTTTGACCAGGTCTTGAATTCCTCCAAGGATGGAGATGGAACAACCTTTCTTGACAACCTTTTCCAATGCCTGTCTGTCCTCATGGTGAAAAATTTGTCCTTTTATTCAGTTTGAACCTTTCATGCCTATTATCTCTAGCCCTCTTGTCATGCACAACTTTGAAGATAACCTCAATTACCTTTCTCTAAAGCTTCTTCTTCTTCTCCATGCTGAACAAGCCTAGTTTCTGCATCTTCCTCTCATGGGGTTTCTCAAGCCCCTGACTACTCTGGTGGGCTCCTTGCTGAACTTTATTTTTTTCATTGTCCTTCCTGTATGGGAGGCATCCACATTGGATATGGTATTCCAGATGCAGTCTACTGAATGCTGAATAAAGGGAGCTACTCACTTCCCCGGGGTATGCTAGCTGTACTTCCAGGAAGCTGCTGCCTTTTTTTGCTGCCAGGACTCACTGCTGGCTCATGCTCATCTTACAAGATCCCAGATCCTTTCCAGCAGAGTTGCTCCACAGCACAGCCCCCAAATTGTACTGCTGCAAAGACTGGTCCCTTTACTTTTCCCCTGAAGTGTGTTATAATGGCTTTTCCCCCCACCCCATTAATTCCTAGGATAAATAAAATTTTAAATGATTTCAATGGAAAATGTTACTCAGCTTACAAACTACTGTGATTTCAGGGAATATTACCGGTAATGACTTCCAACAGCTTAGCCACATTCATTATTTTTGGGCAGAGGTACACTAAACAGGTAAAGAAATAAGGAAATAGGCTATCAATACCATAATTTCTTAAATCACAAAGCAAGGTCTAATTAATGTTACAAAATGCATCCTATAACTAAGCTAAATGCATAGACTTGTTAGCTACCATGAAAATCTTAAAGCACAGTTTTCTTTGCATCAAAGACAGGAAACAGTGACACCAGAGAAGCTGATACTGATTCTATGAGATTGATGTTGATATCTAAATCATTTTATTCCCACAATTCTGAGCACAAAGAAGACTGCCATACATTGTCATTCTTTTTATTATACTAACAGCCTGCAAGACAAACATTTACTGCAGAATAAAACATTATGTATATTATGTGCATCGGTCATTCCTGATACACAATTGCTTCCATCTTTTTGTGCCACAGGAAATTCTGATCATCAAGCTCCATGTAGCATTTAATACTAAAGCTTCTGACCAAGGAAAACATGAACATGAGTGTGTCTTCTTGCCACAGGTATTGACTTCATGGTTTATGGACACTGATGACTGACTACTAAAAATAGCACACAGAAGCAGCTTTGCTTGACACTGGTTAACTGATATGTCTCCTGGAGAACTTTGATACAGTAACTAGAGACACATTCTTCCTTCTTAATAATGTTGAACCAGGCAGTACCTAAAAACAGCCTCAGAAAAATTAGCAATTCAGATGCCTTTGCCCTCCTCAAGCAGGGAACTGAAGAAATAAGGTAATTTTATATGTAGTCTGGTACTGACCACCAAACCTGACTCAGCTATCTTTCAGTGAAGATGAATGAGAACAAGGAAAACATGGTATGACACACTGGCAACAACATTTGACAAGCAGATAAAATGGACAAATCTGGCCAAGTTTTTGAAGCTAGAAGACAGAAAAGCTAATCCCTACCTCATTTTGAACTTCTGAAACGTAAGGCCTAGCCATACACCTATTACAATCAATCCAGCACTTCTATTAACTGTGCTGGAAGACAGATCACAGTTTTCCTGAGAAACTATAGCAGGAGGTTTGGGTAAACCTAATCTACTATTCTGAATTGAACATTTTGTAAGCCTAAAAATTTCACTGGAAAAGTAGAATAAAGGACTTAATACAATAGCGGACAGTATTTATAGACATCAATTATTTGGTTTAGAGCAAAATGTGGACAGAATATGGTTAGAAAAACATAGGCTTTCAAATAAAATATATAAACTTACAAATTTGAATACCTAAAGAAGGCCAACAATTTATTGAATTAGATACAACTGAATCAGTGGCAAGATGATTACTTTTTTTTTTTTTCTAACAGAAATCAAAAGATGATGTCTTGAAAAGAGTACAATAAAGGAGGAGGTGTTCATGATGCATCCCTTAATAAATTCCCAGATTTTCATAGCCACACTTCCCATGTTTTTATTGACTTAATAGATTTATCTTCCAAGAAGTTGCCCAGTTTTCCCTTGAAACATGAAGTTCTACTGGTTGACTGCTTACCACATGAAGAATTCTCTCTCTCTCTCTTTTTTTTTTTTTGGTTAACCTGGCCCATAATAATAATTATTATATGTACTTCATTTGTTCAGGAATACAGGGATTGTGCCTGATGTAAGTGCACATGGACTACAGATATACAGTCTATTTTGCATGGAGTTTTATCAGAAATCTTACCATTAGTGGCACAGATGAATCAAAATCCAGATGAACTGCCTGAGAGGCAACCGCAATAACTGACTAAACCAAAATGCAGACAAATACGAATAACGTGTTCCATTAAGAAAATAGCACCTGAAACAATGACTCCTGGCTCTCATGCACTGACTGTAATGTACTGCATAGATTGCATAATTTCTCAGTGTTTTCCCATATGAGAAGAGTAGATAACAGCTCACATTTTCAGTCATTATACAACTAAGCTGCTAAGTGAAGCTACTGCCTTGGAGCGCTCAGAAACAAGAACATGGAATATTAGGCTTGGTCACATCGCCATATGCAACTGTAAAGCTGAATAATTATCCGATTCAAGACAGAGAAATGCAAAAATATGCAAAGGTGTTCCATCAAAGAATTAACTCTTCAACTGCATTGTATTACAAATAAATGTGAAGTTTAGGAAAGAAAGTTTAGAAAATGTAAAGTTTAGAAAAGCTTGTGATTATATATTTTTTTTATGTTAAAAATCTGTAAAGATTCCTTTTTATTTAAAAAGAAATGTATAGAAATCTTTGACAATAACAAATTTAAAATGTTAGCAAAGGCTTAGTTTTAAAGGAGGTTCCTTCAAGATAATTAAATAAACATCAGTAATCTACTGCAATTATTAATTAACATTTCTAATTTGAAAACTGCATTTCTGTGGATTTAGTATGTTTGTTCATAGCTATGGCTTAGGAAACAAATTCTGAAATTAACTATTTTTAAATCCAGGACATGATAGTTATAGGTCTTTTTAAGGGTCTCTGTTAAGAAGCTTCATACTCTAAACCAAGAGATTCCTGCATTACATGGCAGCTCTCAAAAACACAACAGAATGACTTAGAATAAGAACAATGCGACTTTGTGCATCTCTGTCACTGTCTTTACTGAACCTACAAAATCCACCCACAGTATTTACTGTCTATTCTACAGAACTGATTTATTCTTATTTCTGTTACTCTAAATAGGCTGTACTGCAAACTTCCATGTTATTTCAGTGAACAGGGAAGAAGAGACACTGTATTAAAATTGTCTGCTTAAAATTAGACAAATTATCAGTGACTCTGGAGCAATGGGTAGTTTTATTTACCACTCCATTACTCCTTGAGTGCAGATTCTCCACTTCTTGCAAAAACACACAGACTGGCTGCAATCTGAAAACTCTTGTAAGAGAACAAGGAAACACCTTCTTGACCACTGGTTTGGGAAGGTATAGAAAAAGTAAGCAAGTTCCTACTTTCTAATCAAAATTATTATTCTGGGGAGCTGGAGCAAATGACAACTACACTGGGAAGTTTCAAAGACAGATGCTCAGTTCAACTAACTAGGCTACAGGGCACAATGCTCACATACTTCAGTTAAGAATCTTGTATTGGAAGAACAGTTCAAAGACACCTGTCCTTAGGTTTTCACAGTATAATCACAGAACAAACGTAATCTTACACTCAGCACGCTGCAGATGACCATACCTTTAAGAGTCTTTCTCTTCGCTTTGCTACGTTCAGTTTTTCAGAGAGCTGGCTAAAAGATAAGTTGGAGGTTTCAATGTCTTCATGCCTCAGAATGTAGGGCTGCACATTACCTTAAAACAAAAAGCAGCTGATTGTCACTGTATCTTCCCACAGACAGCTTCTAAGTACAAGCAAAAACTGAAATTTGCTAGGCTTATATTAACTTCTTTATTTTCTTTGGGAAATCTTCATATTAAACAAGCAAAATAAACCCAATTGTGTGCTTACAAACAATGTGAGAGTAATCTAGCAATAAGGAGTGTAGAGGTATTCTTAAAAATAAAAGCCAACCACTTCACTAGAATTTATGAAAACCAGGAGTGTTAGGCTAGTGTGAATAAATATTAAATGAGCACAGCAGATTAACACATGGTTGCAATGACTCCGTTCTATTATTTTTGTAATACAGTAAAACAATAGAAAATTATCAATCAGTGACTACTTGATTTGAAAGAGAATTATCTGCTTATAAACTCTTTAGTTATCCAATAAAATCAGCGTTACGAGACTTCCTGATGTAAAAGACATCTAAGCACAGTATTCACATCTAGAACAACCTATGGGCTAAACTTATTAGCAGAGAGCTGTAAAGTTAATACGCAACGTGTTTTAATCTAGTGAATGATTTGAACCCATATTTTCATAACTTCTTTTTTTTTTAGTTCAGTGTGAGCAGGTTCTACATAAAAAGAAAATCTCACCATTTCTTGAAGAGGATACAGAAGTGTTGCATTTTATAAATAGACTTTGAAACGGCACATTTGCGTTAACTCTCACGTTCACAGAAAAGCATGATAGTGCTTTGAAAGATGTATATTGTGAAAGCTGAAGCCACAAAGTCAAAACTATTCATCAATGCAGCACAGCATAAAAAGAAATAATGTGCAGACTGGAGTACATACCTCTATTAGCATTCAGAGCAGCTAACTGTGAATTCAGTTTTGCAATAATGCTGTTTTGAAGCTCTATCTGTTCCTGCTGTTCACATATTTGCTGCATGTAGTTCTCTGTCTGCAAATATAATTTAATTAGCATTAATCTTATTTTGTTTTGACTAGGGGTCTCCTATTTAGCATATAAAAAACAGCTCTGATTTTTAAAGATGATTGTAGTTGTGGACCTCTGCACTAGAAACCAACTACAGTCACCTTTGGCAAGTCTGTACTTCTGAAACTTTGCTGACTAGAAAAGATACAATAGTAAATAAGAACTAATTTTCAGTAACTGTTTCAACTACAGATGTTATAAAGGACAAGATAGCTTCAGTCTAGGAGTGTTCATTCACAGCCACAGAACACATCAGGTTTAAAGTTGGAATTATTTTATTTATTTCTTCAAAATGCTGGTCAGTTAGCTTATCCATAGAAAGATATCACTTTCTTTCTCCGTCTTTTCTAACAAACAAATTGTATAAAAATAGCCTTTCAAAAAGGTGATTTTAAATTAAAACAACATTGCTTATTCCATATAATTGATCCTTTGTAAGTAACAAACTGCCTACCTACATACCTCCTTTGATGTAGACATTTTTCTAACCCAAAAAATGGGAGGGAAAGCAAGAAAAAAAGTGGCCAATCAGCCCTATTCTTTATCTAATCAGAGTTGTGCTATCACCAGGCCATAAAGATCCTAATAACCAGGCCATACAGAGCCTAATAAAGCCACTCACATTTCATTGAAGTGTATAAATGTTGTTAGACAGCCAGTTAATTGAACAAATGGTGGCAGGAAGATGCTACTACTCAAAAACTATTATTTGGTTAGCACAGCCTTGTTGCAGTTACTGCAGTTTAGTGCAGTAGCACTAAAAACAAGCGAGAAAACTTGTGAAATCCCAGCAAGAAAGCTTACAGGGTTGCACTGAATTAAGAATGTGCCTATTATTGAACAGGTCAACACCTAGCACAAAAGCAGGTATGCTTTCACTTCTATTTATAATGAATCCACACTGATTTCTAATTCTCTAATCTCAGTCACATTTGAATTTCACACTCCTCTACTGCTCAATGTGCCTGTCTGCAAAGTAGGCAGGAATAAACCTAGAAACAACATTTATTTTAAAAGGTTGGGTAGTAGTTGTACTATGAGAGTTTATATATAAAAAAAAAGTGATCAAAGAGCAGTACACTCCAGCAGCTACAAGAGACCTCATGAAGCAGAAAAATCACTGAGAACCAAATTGAAAATGTACAACAGCAATGTCTTGTCAACACTTCTGTACAGAGCACAGACATGACAGCTAAAACAGACAGAAGAGAAGATGCTTTTGACAGCCAGTGTGCACAAATTATTCCTTGAGTCAGATGGCAGCAACAAGTTACCAACTAGAAGATCTGCATGACAACCAACCATCCATCTGTATCAAACACCATCTGGCCGAGATGACTCTGGCTTCTGTGTGCTTGACATGGCTCCCAGCTCTAGAGACTGGCAAAACAAGTGGCCTATTGGTAACTTAAGTAGTAAACTGTTAACAACAGAATGGTGGACAATCCAACAATGTGTGAAGGCCACACAATGAACAGAGGAATTTACTAGAACAAGGCACTGTATGAAGATGATTCAAAACCCATCAGTTTGGCTTAAAAAAAAAACACCTGAAAATGAACCCAAAACAAAAATACTACAATTCTTCCTGAAAAGATACTTCCATTCTCTTCTGAAGTTATGGAATCCAACTACTGAAAGTTTGACTAAAGCAAAAATTTGGCCTAGTTGGTAATTCTTTATGAAAGGCTTTTCGTTCTTATTTCAGAACCAGAGAAAACATGAAGGGAAATACTGCAAACGTTTAGCTCTCTTAACACTGATGATCTCACACACTTGCCTACCTTTCTTCTATGGACTTGAGAAAGGCCATTTCCTGACCTTGTATTCAGTGTCTTGTTTCTAGGGCAGAAATTTCTCTCACAGACATTTTAGATGCCTAGAAGTATTACCTTGATTGTTTTTCCTTAAAGTAATTAATTTTTCATCTTTTTTTGAAACAGCAAAAATCCAGAGGTGCTCCTTACAAATTAGAATGCCTCTAGAATCTGTTTCTTCTACTTCATAATTAAAGAACAATTGTATTGTTTTTTCTTTTTTTCTTTTTTTTTTTTAATAAAACCAATGCATATTCTAATAGTTTTCAAATAAGTTTGCTGTAAATGTTGAAAGAAAGATCTATTGTTCTAATAGCTTGCACAGTGCTTAATACATTGAAGTCTTTAACCTATTCACAATAATAACTCAAAAAATCACTTTCAAGTAAAGCAAATTAAACTTCAAAATGTACTTCATTAAAGATGGGTAATGTGCATATACTCCACTGCAGTTTACATTAATCCTTCTTCAAAACAGAAAATTATTTTCTCACCCTTAATGTTTCGGGGGAAAAAAAGAAGTTGAAATCCACCTACTATATTCACACCTTAATGAGCTGCTCTGCAGCTTAGTGGCCTGGTCTCATAACTGCAATTCTCAACTCCAGTGCACTCAAGTGTGAGTAGCTGAAGTGAAACTGAAATCTATATGTACCACAATCTTCGACTGAAAGAATTGCTTTACAAACACAACTGAGAACCCACCACATACTTTTTGCTGCAGTTCTTTCACAGCATGGTCCCTGTCCATGCATGCTTGCCGATAGGCTTCATAAGCTTTGTTAAGTTGCTCTCCAATGTTTTTGTCCATAACTCCCAATGTCGTTTCATCACTGAAAGGATGGTCAAGTTAAGAGATCTGAAAAGTAATCAGAAGGAAAAAGAGAGAAAGCCAAGAAAAAGAAGTACATAACTAAAAATACACATAACATCACTCTTTTTATTATCAGCTTCAAGTAATATGTGCAGTAATCTTGAGCATTAACTCACGAAACAGACAGAACTACAGCTCTGCTCATCTCAACATTTTAATTCTATGTTCAGGGGTATGTTCAATTATAAGCTAAGTAAAACAGGTTAACAATAAATCAAATTCTGGACATACAGAATTTAAAATTGATGCAAATACCACTTACCTGAGTTTACAACATTTTGGACAGTTTAATGTTTACTCGATTGTAAAATAACAGGAACCATTTAAACAAGCCAGAACAGAATGCAGCTTTTTTGCATTAAATATTTTAAAGATAAGAATTCAATAACATTAGGCCACATCAGCCTATCCTACTCTTTGCCACACTTGAAAATGGCAACACGCTCAATACCAAAAGTTGAATAAAACAAATTTGATCTAAAAAAACCCCAACCAAACACTATTCCCAACCAGTAAGAATTAGCAAGAAGTTCTTCCACATTATTATCAGCTTGTTATACTTTGAGAGCAATTTTATTATCAGCTCCTGAAACTAAAGCTGATAGTCACTAAGGCATAGCAGAACAATAATGACTGGTTACAGACTTCAATTTGAAGACAGAATGAACTTTGGAAACACAGATGCTTTGCTTCTATAATAACAGATGACAAAGTTTAAGATTTTAGATTAAAATTTATGATAAGGTAAGTACGGTAGAGGATAGATGAGTGAAGTCTCAAATAAAAGCAAAAAAGGGCCAATATTATGAAAACAAACAAACAAAAAAGAGCAATACACAGCTCCTCTCCTAGTTAAATATTAGCATGGTTACCTCACAGTAAGAATAGACAGCCACTATCATCTATCACTGTCTTCTGGGTTCATGCAAAAACCACAGACACTCTTAGATAGTGGAGCTGTCAAGAAAACAAAGCAAGAAGGGTATGAGGATAACCTATCTAAGACCCTGGTCGAAATCTTAAAGGACTACAGCTTTAAGTTTTGTTCATTTTTTCTTGCTCTTGAATATTTTTAACGCAGAAAAGAGGTTTGACTTTCCTAGCAGATTCGATTGTCTACTGCACAGATGTTGTACCTTCTTGTCCTGTTAGCTTTACTGCAAAGATGTGTGCACACTGCAAAAGCAGCTGTATCCCAATTGTATCTCAGGATGGCTGTACTTTATCAATAGCAAAGTGAATTCTTTAACAGGGCCTTTTGATACATGAAGTATTACAACAGTGAATGGGCTTCAATCCAGAGTACTCAGAGTTCATAGAAAATGAAGGCATTCATTTCATTTGTGGAAATTCAAATCTCAGTTTGGAAAAAACAATGCTTAAAACTGATATGTAACTTCCAGCCTTCTACTGACTGACTGACTGAATTGATGGAGGCTGGGAATATAAACATTTTTACTCTTATCTAGACTGCCAGTAGCAGGAGACAGAATTGTAGCACTACACCCAATTTTCTGTTTGGAAGATAATAAAAAAAACCCAACAGTTGTTTGTAGTCGAACTCTATGGAAAAAGGTCCGTGAATCTTAACTTACAGGTAGCTACCTAAAAGCCAGTCACCATGTAAGAAAAGAGCAACAGAAATAGTCCGTAATGATATTTAAAAGTAGAATTGCTACCAGAGGAATTAGTCCTGTATTCCCCTATGCCCTGGACAATGGCTTCTGCTTCCACTTCTCCCTTCTCTTTCTGTAAGCACAAGTGGCCTACTATAAAATGTATCAGCAATCCAATCCAGCTTAAAACTAAACACTTAAAGGTGTTTTGGCTGTGCTATTTTAATGCAGGTCAGCTTCATGGACCACTTCAAATTACATGATAACACAAACACCTGTATCAGTAGAATGATGCCAACATAAGGCAGGAAACATCAGCGAAAGGCAGACAGAATTCCTGTTTTCATTCATAGCAGTGGCTTCAAAATTGTAACATAAAATCCTGGTTATGTAATGGCAATAAAAGCCTGCACAGACACAGAAGACAATATCCCACCTTCCCCCAAGTCGGGTCATGCATTTTTGCCATTTATTTGTACCATGTCAGCATTTCTATGCTGCATGGTTGAGCTGTGCCAGAGAACTAGCACCTTGCTGCCTCTAAATAAATATGTAAACAAACAGGACGAGGCTGCTGGAGCACCACTACCAGCACAAGGAGGCAGTGGGAACATGAGATGAGCTGTGGGCAGGACTGCTGCAGTATGGAGTCTAGATTTAGATTGGATTAAATTGCTTTGTAGTCACACCCTGAGTTGTCTGGAATAAATAGGTAATGTGAGAAACAATAATATCCAGAAATCCTGAAAATTTGAAAAACTGGCTCTTTTTTCTGCTTCTCCTTCATATGCATCAATATTTATCAGGAAAATTGCCAATTGTTCCTTGTAATTTTCTCTGCTCCTTTCATCCAGTTAGGAAGAAAAAAGCCACCAAAACATCCTCTCTATTTTAACCAAGCTTAGTTATGTTGCATTCACTGAACAACTGAAACACATTCAACTCAAAGATGACAACCCTGATCATCAACATTCTAGATTCATTAGATCCTGAAGATCCCAGGCTGGATGTGGCTCTGGGCAGCCTGGTCTGGTGGTTGGCAACCCTGCACATGGCAGGGGGGGTGAAACTCAATGATCATTGTGGCTCTTTTCAACCCAGGCCATTCTATGATTCTTTCACCACTATTAACAACCTTATGGAGTCAGAGCAGAAGCAGCAATACAGAACGCTCTGTTTTTTCTACCAAGGACAGACTTAGGGAGAGAGTCTGTCTGATAAGGGAATCCTCTACAAGCAAGTAGCTGGGTGCTGTGCTGCCAGCTCCACGGCAATGAGAACTTGAATTCCATCTCTGAGTAAAGTCTTGAATGCTGGAAAACAACTGGGTAGTGCAAATGGTGTGAGACAAACCTGTGTGTAAACAAACTCAGGGAAACCTGCAGAAGCTCTGAAAATCCTTGCTTCCAGCAAAACACATTTCGCTCATACAGGTGGAGAAAGAGCAGCTGTAATATGAATTTTCCATGGCTCCAACACCAAAAAACCTTTACACAAAGATCAGCAACATTCTGCTGCACACATCTGAAATCGCAGCAGCACAGAACACTGCACACACGCTGAGTTTCCACTGTGCCTCAGAAAACACCTTCCATTCTGAAAAATAAGGTTTTAGCTAATGATGTGCACGTAGGCTTTCATTCACAATGTACTTGCCTACCTCTTCCAGGTTCACGTGAGAACACAGATGCCATCCAGACACAAGTACTTCTCTATGTACTTCTGCTTTCAAAACAGGTTTTTTTTCAATGGAAATATTTATAAAAGTTACACCGCCATCGTCTTAGGAACTGGAAACCTGTCGAGGCAATCTCGGCAGCCACCACGCGTAGAGCTCGGAGCGGCGGCGGCTCTCCCAGGCTCGGGGGACGACGCCGATTAGCGGAGAGCTGGGCCGTCCCAGCCGCACCCGGCCGGCATTCGGCTCAGCCGCACGCTTCTGTCCGCCCTCCGCTTCCGCGGCCGTCCCGGCAGCGCCGGGGGCGGCCACCCGAGCCCTTCCGAGGGCACCGAGAGCCGCTCAGCGCTGTCCCGTCCCGCTCCTTTAGCCTGGCGGAGCGCCGCCGAGAGGAACCGGCGTCCCCGGGAGCGGGCGGCGGAAGCGCGGAGCGGCGAAGGCAGGGCAGGGCAGGGCAGGGCAGGGGGGGGGAAGGCCTGCGGCCGGGTGCCACGGCACGCACCCTAGCCCCGAGACCGAGAGCCCGCCGCTCCCTCGGCTTTAAAAACGACTCAGACTTACAAGCGCCTCGCGGAGCCCGCGGCCGCTCCCGACACACGGCGCTGGGTCCCGCCGGAGCGCCTTAACCCAGGAACCAGAACTCACTTCCTGTTGTGCCTCTCCCCGCCCGCCCGCCATGTGACGGCTCCGCGTGCAGGGCGGCTGCCGGTCGGGGGTAACCCCGGGCCTGGGCTGGGGGTCATCCCCGCCGGCCTCGCGCTCCGCCCGGCGGCTCTGGGCGCCCCTCGGCTGCCCTGCCGTGCCGCTGGGGCTTCTCTCTTCCGAGCGGGGCTGTGCTCTGTGCTCGTGGCCAGCGGCTTCCGAGCAATTTCTGTTTCAGTTTTTCTATGAATGTGTTATTTGTAAAGAGAGGTGCTTACGTTCGTAACATAAGTAAACTTTCCGTTTTCACCATACTTTTGCTTTTTACTTTTGAAACTTAACGAAGTGGCATATTTCCTGTGAAATACGTGGGCAACATTCTATATGCGTAGGAATAAATGGAAAATGCATTTAATAATTTTATTTTTGCTGCTGTTACAAGCAAAACTGCTGTTACCTCTTTTTTTTCAGGTCACACGTGGGAATCATTTTTCTTTAAGTTGTGAGAGTCGATGGGAGAAAATATAGGGTTCTTTACATATACTTAACACAGGGCACTGGCCACGAAGCCAGCGGTAGGGAAGCAACCTGGATTTTGCGTTGGCCTCAGCTGTGCCTGAGCTCCAGGGCTGTGTGCACATAGGTGTGGTGCTTTTTCTGCTGGGGCATCTCTTTGCCTGCTGATGGATCAGAACCTGCACTACTGGCTCTCACATCCTAGATGAGGCCTTGTGTGTGAGCACTGAGCCCAAATGTAGCTTACTTCTTGGAAGATTATTTCCATTATAATTTATTTTTCCTGCTGAGTCTTTTGGGCTGTTTTGGCCTTTGTTAAGACTAATAGACTTGTAGGCAGGTAGTTTAATGAGCCAATACGTGCATTTCCTCCTCAGCCACTTTCAAGAACTTGGGGTTTAGTTCTGATGAACTACTGGGATTCTAAGTGGGTTTGCTTTATTAATGTGTTTCCAAGAAAGGTGATTAATTTCCTCCTTCAGAAGCCTTTAGCTTAACAAATTGTTAGAGATGTCCAACTTTGGGTTTCATTTAACCAGGTCTTTGCTTAAAAAAAGAAGAGAGAAAGGAAGAAAAATGAAGCTATTGTTTCTTCTAAATCTCTATGTTTCTTAATTTATTCAGATTTCCCAAGTACTTCTGCACTTAAAGTTATAATGGGTATCTCCTTTAGTAACTGAAAAAAAATATTTTTTCTTTGTGTTAGATCAATGTATGGAAATATAATTTAACTGACACTATGTTTTAAAAGGGTCAACGTGTAGAAATATCCGAGTAGGTTATCTGATGGTGAGAAGTAGCAGCTAAGATTATGGGCACGTGAACTTGAGCAGAGACCTAACATACATGCCATCTGTGAGACATGGCCATTGCACGTGTTGGTGGTTCAGTAGCAAACCAAAGTTTGTTAATTAAATTCTAGAAATGTACTTGATGTAATTTTGCTGTGAAGGTCTCAAACCTGTCAGCAAAGCTGACAACCATCTACAAACAGAGCTTTGCTTTTCCAAGTGAAGTGCATTATTCTCTTTATGCTGTATTAGAAATATCACAATAAAACACAAGAGAAGCTGTCTTCCCTTAAGCTTCTTTTTTTTTTTTTTTTTTTTTTTAAATTTATTACAATTCCTGTCCACTACAAGAAAATGTATGTTACAAGCTTCACAGTAGCCTGTGCTGACCTTCTTAGAGATTTCCAACCCTTTGAATAAATCGTTAAATAGAAGAAAGGAATGTCTGAGGAAATAACATAAAGTCTCTGTTTGGTAGCTAACTTGATGTCTAAGTTTGACCTCTTAAAAGAAGAGCAGCTTCTGCTTTACAACCAATTGTTTTTGTCCTTTTCTTCCTCATCTTGCTTTCTTTTTCTCTTTCTGTTTCTCATCTTCCTCCTCATTCTCTGTATTTCTCTCCCAACAGCTATTTCAATAATGAATTTCTGTAGTCCTTACATTGGCCTTTGCCATTTTTATGTTGTTATTAAGGCAGGATTGCTTTTTTAGGTGTAACCTTTAATGTATAAGTAGGAAGAGTAAGGCTATTTCAGTATAGTTGAAAAGAACTAAGATTTTAGTAATCTGTTAATCTTAAAGACTGTTGCAAGTGACTAATCTGGAGCCTGGGAGTGACAGGAAAGAGGTTTGTGTCTGTACTATTTCATTTCACTGTCTTCAGACTCAGAGTCTTTTGACTAAATATATTTGGAAACGTCACTAATATTATTGTAATTGCTAATTAGCAAATTGATTCTTTTTCAGAGTGAAAATTCAAGAGTTTGCATTGACCAAATCAAGCAGTCCATACAAATATTTCACAGTATCTGTTTTAATGTCTGACGTTACCAGAAAGGAACTGTTATGTAGTTTTTAGCCTGGGATAACATGGGATGAGTGTATTAATTTGGTGCTTAAACTGTGTTAAGGCATGGAGAGGAACGGACTGCTGAAGGTGGACTTTCCAAAATGCTGTATTTCAGCATCGGGTTAAATAGGATTCCTTCATACAGTTTTAAGTTAATGGATACAAATTGACTTCTGCCAGCTGTCAGAAAGGTTCCAATGTTTCCAGAACGCCCTTCATGTAGGCACTGGCGGAGGCGCTAGGGGGCTCACGTCAGATGTTTAAACCTTTCCCAGCGCTGCTCCTCTCAGGCTCCGTAAGAGTGCGCGGCACAGCGCGAGGTGCCTGCAGGGCCCGTGTGCCCGTCTGGTGTTGCTCCATTTAATGACATAAAGAGCCCGTTGTGTTATTGGAGTACCTTGGGTCAGGAAGGAAGAGCTGTGGATTAATTTAAAATGAGTCTTGTTTCATAGTAGGAAAGTGAGGCTGGATTTTGCTTTTTGTTTTACCGACGGCTAAATTAGTTAGCTGGTGAGCCTGTGGAAACCCAGTGCAAATAAGGGTGCCTACAGGTAGTAACAGACAAAACCTGGCTTCCAGAAACTGAAGAATATTTATGCAAACAAACAAACGAGGTGCAATACTAGCAATTGAAAAGCAATGTTAGTACAATTATAAAGTTTGCAACTCATCTTGTACTTTTTCTATGAGTTAGGATGTTGAAGTTGATAAGTATAATTTACCTGTTCTATTTACAAAATGTAGAATCTGAAGGTTTGAATCTCCTTATAAAGTCTTCAAGAGTATTTTCTTTTCTCTGTTTCTTTCTTTCTTTTTCTTTCTTTCTTTTTTTTTCTTTTTTTTATTTTTCGTAAGAGTAAAGGCAGTTTTTTTGTTATCTGAAGGAGTGTCAACAGGATTATGAAATACAGTTCCGTGTTTCAGCACTGGTTATGACTAATATTAGCTGGGAACTTCCACCGAGAAATACCCAACTGGAGAACTTCCTGAGTGCAGCTGCAAGCAGGCAGCCATCCTGTGGTACAGGCGTGAGCTGCAGCAGCCTGCAAACTGCCTTTGGGCCATGCTTTGCTTCCATGTGTGATTCCAGCTGTTTCTGGAGGCTCGCTGTTCTGAGAAAGCGTTACCTTGCATGTAAAGGGAGCAGCACAAACCTATGTGTTTGGAAACAGCTGTACCCAGTAATTACTGTAGCAAATGTATACCTTTAAACTGGATTTTAAGAGCCAGTAATGATTATGGCAACAGTAGAAAGTAGCAATCACTTTGTAAACACAATGCTATCAATGTATAGAGAATGCAACTTGTGGTACATCCAGAAAGTGTGCAACAAGATGGAACCTTCAATACATCTTCCAGGAGAATAGCAGAAAATCAATCTGCTGATCCTCAGTTAAGATCCGAAGGGACTTAATTATGCAGAACCTTAAGCTCAGGTTAGTTTTTATCCCCATTGCGTCTTTATTTTCCCCAATATTTGACAAAACTGCTGAAAACTGTAGAGCAATGGAGGGAAAACATTCACCTTGAAAGCCTCTTTTATTGTTTTGTTTTGTTTTTGTTTTTGCCATAAAGGCAAATATTCAGGAGCTTTTATGCCTAAATGTTGATTTCTCAGGCCTGCCAGTATAAAGAACTGAGGTGTTTTGATATCAACTACATGACATAGGCCTTCTCCCTAAGTTCCTTGTTAATATTCAGTAAACCTCATAGCAGTTTTAGACATTATATCCAGCATCTAAGAAAACATGGCTGATACAAGGAGCTTTTGCACTTTTGGCTGAATGTTTGATTCTAAGCCATTTATCAGGCTGTCAGTGTGGAGTAAGAATGGAGGAAGGAGAGAATAAAGAGAAGTATTTGAAATAAAGCATTTAGTTTCTGGGATTTTTTGACCTCTTTCCCTCTCTACAAAAAGGTGGAGTTATGTAGTGTAGCAAGATTAGTGCTTCCATGGTATTACTTTTGTTTCTGTAGTCTCAAAAAATTGTAGAGTCTGGGGAAAAGGAAGAGACAGGTGCTAATGCAAAGTCATTAAGTTAATGGACTTGTGTTAGTATACCTGTGGAACTTCTTGTCAAAGCTGTTCAGGATGTGAAAATGTTGGATGTGTTCAAGGGGAGACTGGTCAAGTAAATACTGGAGAGATTCACTGAGGGAAACTAAAGAGACAGGCAGCATCAATCTCAGGAAGTTCTGTGACCTGAAAATAGCTGGCAGCTGGGAGAAGACTCTGAGGATACATTACATATGCTTGCCCTGTTCTTACTCTTCCCAGGGCATTGATTTTTAGCCACTGCTGAAGAGAAGACGGGCCTGAACCAATGTGGCATATGTTCTTATGTTAATGACTTCATGCTGATACAAACGTGTAGGAATTTCTCTGCATTAAATAATCTTCTGTAAAGGAGAGGGTACTGTAGAATGATAGAGAACATTGCAACTGCAGCAGTTTTAAAAGATATTGCAATGTCTATTTAGAATGTATATTTTTTATTATTTCAGAATATTTAGTTGAAAAATGAAACATTTTGATACTTTTGTAGATGGTGTAATGTTATAATGGGATGAAAAGTACCACAATAATAGTGGGGTGGGAAAGTCTTTGGCTGCAGTAAACAAGAAAGAGGCCAACTACAGCAGCCACAGATGCAGAAATGAAGGAAAGGAGCTGCTTACCTTTAGAAGGCCTCAGGTATGCAGTGATCTCCAGCAAGAGATGCCCTTGCCTCCACTGCCCACCCTTACGAGAGGTCTGGGAAGGGATGGATCCTGGCTCCACTGCTTCCAGTCACTCAATGCATTGCATGCAGCTGAGCTTCCCTGTGTTGGCCCTGCCTTCCCACTGCAGTGACCAACAGATCAGCTCCATAATTTCATGGCTTTTGTTGTTAGCTATCACTAACTGGTCACAAAACTTAGCAGAAGGAAGATCAGTGTGAATACACATCAAGGTAACCTTCTCGTTCAGTGGGCTGTAAAGAGATCACAGGAAAAAGACCTCAAAGCCTGTGGTGATGAAAGTTTTCCCCATTATTTAAATGGTGATGACATCTAAAATTTTAATGCTGCTTATTTAATCCAGGACCTTTGAACAGAATCTCCAAGCATAGAAGTTAATTTTTCCTAGTTTTCTTTAGTTATGGATCTAATCAACTATACATAAAATCCATACAGTAGCATAAACATTCCAAGCTTCCCCCTAAAGAAAAAATTGTAGGGAAAGCTACTAAAATGCTTTTATTTGTTCCCTTTTTTATTTTTATTTTTTATTATTAAGGAAAATACAAGTCCACTTTAGTTATTTTTGCAGGATGATGTAGCAACTGAAAACGTACCTATAACTTCCCTAATGCATTGGGTTGGTGTACTTTCAATATTGCTTGATTGTTTGATATTCAAAAAGAAATATTTCTGTTTCTCTGCACACTGAAAAATATTTTGAAGTGATTCATCTCTTCAGTCTTTCTCCTGTTGATGTAGTTGTTCCAGCTCCTCCTGTTTTATTTTAAATTGTTTTATACATGAAAAAATAGCTTTGTGATTTCAACAGCATGCCTTTCTTCTTTGCTCACTCTCATCCTCTGAGAATTTAGTGATTCTGAGCTTGACTACCCAGAGTGTGCCAAAGGTGCTCAGGTGAGGGTTCCTGTAAATCTTACAGTGTACCACCACACTGAAATTCTATCACCAGGTGAAACCAAAAGGTATGAGCAGTTATCAAATAATCATTCCTCTCAAGTTTTAACTAAAATTTGTTGATATCCTCGTGCACCAAAGATAAATCATCATGCTGAATTTCTATGGTAATTCTTTCTCAACTTCAAGAAGAGAAAGCTTCAAGTTATATCCTGTGTAGGTTATGTGTGCTGGCACTGCACTTACTTGAACACAGCCTCATCTGTAAAGCTAAGAAAACTAAATATCAAACAAAAATGCAGACCAGCGTCGTGCAAATGATAGTTGTTCTCACTGTGATGTAAACAGGAATGGAGAGAAGAAGGTCTGAAAAGAAGAAGAAAAGAATGATTAATGTGTATTTCCAGTTACAACACAGAAAATGTATCACTATTAATAAGTGGCTTTCTGAAATAGTTATGCCACTTAAATATTTATTCTTGGTGAAGCAGGGGTAGAACTACATGATCAATGAGTTTGGGCCTTTTTGTATAATCAGTGGTAAAATAAAAGCACACACACGCGCTCACTTTGTCTGGCACAGCTTCAGTCTTCTTATTCACCAGCTGCTAAGTCATTTTCATATCCGTAGCTGCTTCCTCTGAGTGAAAACACACCTGCTCTTCTCACATTGTTTCCATTTATTGTTGGCTTCCTGGAAGCAAAAGATGTAAAAGAATTTTGGCTTGTATTGGAGATCTGAATAATTAAAGAAAGACTCAAAACTGCCACACTCTTAAAAAGTGATTATATGTTAATGTATCTGTATTAATTAACAATTTCCATCAGTACATATACAGTGTTCATATATACCTGCCAATGCTTTTAGATAGCACTGTAATCAGCTTATTGTGTATTAAATCACATGAAAGAATTGCACACAGAACTGAGGGTTCATTCCCTGCAACAGTGACTAAAAGCTCAGTTTTTTGATCACAAAAGGGAGAACGCTCAGGTAAAGAGAACACTATAGAAAGGCAGCTTTAATATGAGGAATAAAACCAGGAAAGATGGATGATACTGATAGATTTCAGGTTAGTTTATAATAAGAAAATGAAGAACCAGAGACCTCCTTCCCAGTGCTTGGCTTGACTTTGCATACAGCCGAATTGACAGCTCTTTCTAAAGCCCTCCTTTAAGAAGATATGATTTACACTGGAGCCTGGAACTTACAGAAGTTATCTTAAATTTCTTCTCCAAATTCTTCAGAGACCATGGACCATTTTCCAGCCTACCTACTCCTACTCATGTATCTGAGTGCACCAGTCACTATTCCGTTCCTGCCTGTTACCACTTACTGTGACAAACACAGTAACCCACTGGTTACTGTGCCAGCCTTGAAACTGGCAGCGCAACTTCCAAATCTCGAGTGCTAATCATTTTCTAACAGAGATAGTCTTTTATAGAGACATTAATTCATCTTCACAAGGCTCTATAAATCTAGCTCTTCCTTGGCACATAGTAAAGTAGCTAAAGACAGGAATCACAAAAGGAAATTAGGGTTTTGGTACCAGCTGCTACAGCCTCCAGTATGTAACTTCCTTCCTACACAGTGTATGGGGCTAACTGAAAAGCAATGCCTTAAGTAGAGCTGCTGTCTCTGGAGCTCTGGGTCCTTTCTAGTTGTGTCTCTTGGATATGAAAATTTGATTTTGCATGGAGTAGTTGAGGCAGACCGCAGAGACTGTAATTCTCCAGTCCCAAAGGGTTTAAGCCTCCATTCTAACAATGCTTGCATGTCTTATGGCATGATATGCAGTAGGGTATTCCCACTTTGCTGCTTTTGACAACCAATTTTACTGACTGATTTTCTATTTTACCGGTGCCTAGAACCAGCCCTCTGAAGACACCATCCTTGCCAAAGGCAGAATCAGCTTTACCTAAACCATTCCTAACATATGTTTGCCTGTTTTGAAGATCTATATTGGTGATAAAGATTTCACAGCCTCCCAAGGGACCTTCTGTTCTTCCTTACAGATTTTTTTTCTAAATCTCTAATTATTCTTCAGTTGAACCACACTTTCCACAATGTACAATGAACAAACCGGACAATATGCTCCAGCTGAGACTTTCCACCATAGTTTTCAACAAATGTATGCTGACTGTCTTATATCCTTAAAACAGGACAAAAGCTTAAGCTTTTATACAGACTTGTTCAATTATTTGTTCCAGTATTTTTCTCTGAATGGATGTAAAGCAGAACACTATGTATTTCTCTGGTTTCTTCTGTTCCCTCCTCTTAGAGATAAACATGATGTCTGCCTTTTTTTCTTTTAGAAGCTCATCTGTTCTCCACAAGTTCTCAAAGACAATTGCTAATGGCTCCGAAATGTCTTTACTCTGTTATCTCTGAGTATCCTGAAAGGAATTTCCTCATGCCCAGTTCATTTGAAAACAGTCATCAATGTCGTAATTCTAACCTGAATTCTTCTGCCATTGTCACTGACACGAACTTTATCCTGCTGACTGAGGCTGACCCTTCTGCTGAAGAAAGTAAAGAAAGTATCAACCTTTTCCATAGCATCTTTAATAGTTTCTTTTTCTTTCTCTTCAGAGAAAGAGTGCAGAGCAGCAGATATTAACAGAATACAATTTGTTTTTTTTTTTTAACCTCATTGTTTTATTCTTTTACATTTCCCAGTAATTTGACTTAAGGAATATAACGTAGAAACTTTGTTGACTTAAAGGTTGTTAAAAAGTACTTAGATATTGCTGTTTTTTGTTTTTGTTTTTTTAGTTTGTTGATATTTTTTAAGCACATTTCTTATTTTGTAATGTGGAATGATTTGTGCTATTTCCTCAGTCTCTAAAGGAGATGCAAAATCTCTGGAGATCCTTGTTTCATTTATGTATTTATTTGTTCCAAAGATCTCAGTGGTGTCTACATACTGCATTTAGGCTCATAAGTGTCTGTATAGATGTAGTTCTGACTGATCTGCCAGAAGTCACACTGCATGAACATTTGTGCTAGGGCTGGGTTTGAAGCACAGAAATGCCTTGCTCACATCAGTGGCTTCTGATTCCTGCCTAATTTATGATCTGATTCAAGCAGGATTATTTGGTTATTATCTCAATTACGTAGGTTTATTTTATGCTAGCAAATTGCCTTACTTACCAGTTCTTCTTTGCGTGCCCTTTGTTGTCCTTGTTTATTTCTACATTGTCTTAAAAAAAAAAAAAAGAAAGAAAGAAAGAAAAAAAGTTTCAGTATGTATTTTTCCCATCTGGTTAGTCCAGCACTCTTCTTAATTAGTAAAATGCCATCCTGTCAGATTCTCTCCTGCCAGGGAGTCATTCAGCTACCAAATCACTTCTTCACCTCCATCATATATTTCAACATTTGAAAACAGCAAAACTGTAAGATATCACATTTTCCCTTACAACAGGAAAAGCAAAACCAACTACAGCAATGCTAATTAAGTGTAGCTTAGGATTAATTTGAATTTAAACCAGGCCTCATGAGACTTTAGAGCATGTAACCAGAATGTCACAAAATATGTAATAATGCTTCTTTTCAGTTAATATTCATTTACTTGAGAACAATAAAAAGCAGCAGAAATAGGCACAACCTGTTCTGTACTCTTTCCCCACATGTTTGTGCTCTGCCCAGACTGCTTTCCCAGTGCATCATTCCAAAGGCCAGCCCTTCTCATGTCTGGGCAGTATCAGATGGGATCAAGTATCACTGTGCTCCCCTTCTTTGGACTTAAACTTCTTTTTCCATTATAAAGTCATTTGAAGAAAATATGTTGCCTATTCAGTCATAAGCCTTATATCTGAATTCATCAGTTTTGTTACAAAATTCTAAAATGGAATGCTATGTATTTTAAAATTACTCTGTGATTCAGTTACTTCTAAAACAAATCTTGCCATATTGATAGAAATATTTAAATCAGACAATGCCATAATGATGATTATAGATAACAAGGCTATTAAGTGCTAAAAATAAGTGTTCTTAAAGAAGAAAAAAAGAAAAAAAGGAACAGTCTGGAGGAGAAATCTGAAGTACATCTGTATTTGGAATATATATATTTGAATAGGAGAAAGCATAGGAAATAATACGAAGTTATAAAACATCATGAAAAATTTTTGTAGAATTTGCTGAAGAGAAATTCATTAGGAGAGCATTCTGTATATCCATATCATTTAATAGTGATTATAGCTTTTTCTGCCTTTGCTTTTATTTTTGTGACTACTATAGGATATATATGTATAAAAATTGGTTTATTTAAATTCTGTAGGAATTCTGTATTCTGACTTCCTGCTTTCTGGCAGGTGTGTTCAGGCCAATTAAAAAATAGATTAGAAGCAACAAGGGTGAACTGATTTACTCAGAGGGTCTTCTGTGCATAGAACTCACCTCCGTGGGTGCCAGCTGCTGCTGGAGGTATCTCCACATCAATGAGGGCATTCTTCTGCAAGGGAAGTAGAAGTAAGCAGAGAGAAGCAGATTGCGGAGCACCAGGTACAACCAGCTCTGTAGAGGTGACTGTTTCAAGGCGCAAACAAACTGGAAAACCTCACTGTATGGACATGGCAAGTTGTAGGTTTTCCCACTATTAGTCACACGGAGGATAAAAGCAATTTAATTTTTTTATTCTGTGCTGTAGCCTGTGATTTTTTTTTTTTTTAATTTTAATTGAACAATATGAATTCTCTTTGAATCAATGTCCATAGTGTGCTGCCAGGCTAAAATGTTATGCAGACATGTTACAAAATGTAATGACAGTTCACTATAATGCTTATTTATACTTCAACCCCAGCTAAAGAAACTGAAGATGCGTAGGCACTGAGCAAAGCTTGCAACACTCTCAGTAACATTCATGTAAGGTGTAAACATCTCAGCCAGTGGGCAGAGACCCTGCCCGTATTTCTGGGTATCCTGAAGCTCTCCCTAGAGTACTTGCAAGGTTCTGGATCCACTCCAAGAAATGGATATAGCAAAGCCAGTATTTCAGAACATGGAAACAACTCCTCCCTTTCTCTCAACTGGTCTTTATTAATCGCTGTCTCTTTGGACAGCATTTTGCTTCTCTAAGTGTTTGTCAGATTTGTGCCCCAGGCATGCATACTTGAGAAATACTGCTTTATTTGGATATTGAATAACATGATGCATCTCATTAGTAATAAGCTTTTTTTTTTTTTTTTTTTTTTTCTGTGACAGAACACCAGACTTATTGAACATGATTGTTGAGTTCATTCAGCATCTAAACAGGTCCTCACTGCAAATCCCAAACTACTTGAGCAGACATATAGTAAAATGCCATGGGCAATACTATTTTATAATGTTAATAATAATGATAATAAACAGTGATATTGAATTTCTTGGCCTCTTTTATATTAAAAGCACCATGTCTCACATTGCAGGAAAAAATCAGTAGTTGACAAGAGGTTAAGACTGGTATACAGCACAATGAAAATGTTAGTACGGAGAAATATCAGACACCATTTATTTAATCAACAATAACAGTGTTATGTTACATTATAAATACAGCTTTCACTTCTATTTCTACATCTGGCAGCCAATGCCAATATGTAAAGCATCTTAGGAGTGGTTCTCTATACTGGGAACTTTTTTGCCAATGAAGCTGAGGAGAGCTAGGTAAAGTTTCTTTTGTCTCAGTCAGATGCTGAGCAGCAGGCATTGGGCTTTCTGTTTATTCTTTCTCCCTCTGAATCTCTTCTGTTCCTCTAGACCCTCTTGTCTTCATCCTCTGCTACCTGCCTGCTTTTTCAGAGTTTCTCAGTTTTTGCTCTTCCTTTGCCCACACTCCATCAATTTTCTCTAACTCGTATAATCCTTTGTATTCTGCTTCTTACACTCCAGAGGACAAATTTGATTTTTCAACTAGCAACATGGGAGGAACCTCTCTTACTCCTGTTGTCAGCTTTGTGTTATTTCTAAAGAATAGCTGCTTATGTAAAAAGATTTGCCGGGATGCAGGCTTGCTCATGACTGTAAGAATTACAAAAAGCACTGATTTGTGGAAAACTAAAAGAGAAGGTCCTGGAAAACAGAAAGGACCACCTGGATTCTGTCTTGCATAGTGCTTTGTTTTTGTTTAAATTTGTAAGTGTTCCAAAATGGTTTACTTGAAAGCAAATATCTCTCCATTCTTAGGATGTCTGAAGGCCCTCCAAACATCAGCCTCACAGTAACTGTAGTGAATATGCAGTGATTACGTTACCAGATTTGTTTATTTCATCAGATTTACTTCTTTTCTTTATCTCCACTCCTATTCCACTTTGATGTCTTAACGTTTTTGGCATTAGAATAACATAAAATTACCAAAACCAACAAACAAAGCAGCTTAGCTAAGATTGATTGAATGCTTCTGGGAAAACAAGAACTAACTTGAACTTTTAAAAAAATAATTTTAAAATATGGCACTTACCTGAAGCTTATCCAGCTCTTTTGGGATTTTCCCATCTGTGCTGAAGTTACCCTATTATTTTTTCTTTTTACTCTTGCTAAAGCTTGAAGATGAACGTACATATATTGCAAGTAAGCATATCTCAGCTACCAGTAAAAAATTTGAAATGCTGTCAAATACTAAAGGTGTTTTGAGAAATCTATTAAAAATGCTGCCCTCTTATGACCTTGATTTTCATATACTTTATATGTGCTTATAATAGAACAGCATGATTCATTAAACACATAGCTTGACATTTGGGTTCTCCGTATGTTTTCGAAAGTCTAAAATGAAAGTGATTCTACCTCAACAGTTTTTTCTTGTAGTGTACTTTGAACAGAACATTACAGATGGTGCTCCTTGATTGCTCACAAAATTTCAGGTTTGCAGAATCATAGAATCATAGAATGGTTTGGGTTGGAAGGGATCTTCAAGATCATCTAGTTCCAACCCCCTGCTATAGGCAAGGACACCTCCCTCTAGACCAGGCTGCTCAAAGGCCCATCCAACAACCCAGCTGCTGAATGACTTTGGTAATCTACCAAAGTGGATTTCAACACTTTGTGTCAGGCATTGAGGCAAAAGTGAATTTCCAAATGAAATCCAGAATTACTTAATGGTAAGTAAGTTAGAGCCCTGTATGTTGTGTCTCTAGAAATTATTCTCAAATTAATAATCAGTACAGTCTTGTAACTTCCATTGTTTTTCTTCCATTCTTAATTTCACAGGTCAATTCCTTCCCATTCACAATCTCATAACTTTCTTTTGGCAGTTCGAGCAACAAAAGAAAGTTGTTGTAAGTTGGTGTAAGTGTGGGTATCTATCAAGAAGGAATATCAAGAATGGAATTAGGAAGGTCAAAGCTTAACTAGCACTGAAACTGAAAGATACATGAACAGAAAAAAATGAAACAGAACAAAACAAAAAACCCACCCAAATAATGTGGGTACATTGGCAACACAAGGAAGTTCTTGGAAAATGCTGCCCCTTGGTGAATGAAGCAAGCAATGCAATAATAAATGTTGTGGAAAAAGAATAAATGCTGATAGCAATGCTGTCCTTATTTCTGTCTTTAGTAGTAAAGCTGTCTCACAGTTCTTGTAAGTCTCTACTTCTAGAAACAAAGTTTGGGGGATAAAATTGCCAAGCATACCAAGTACTGAGTCAGAGTTAGCTGGAGCAATGACACATGTATGTCCTTAGGACAGGTGGGATTTATCCAATGGTGTTAAAGGAGCTGGTTGGTGCCAGTGTAAGGCCTCTCTTTAGCTTAAAAGTTTACATAAAGTGCCTGATGCTTAGAAAGAAGAAAAAGATTATGTCCATATTCAGAAATGGCAAGAAGCAGAATGTGGTGAATTACAGACCTGTGGTCCTATTGAAAGTATAGGAACAAGTATTGATAAACATGTCATTTCTAGAGAGAGAGGATGATTTATTCTAAACCATAGATTTTCATAAGTTTTTATTACTACCTTCACACAAATAGGTTTATGCTCTTTATTTTCTTCCTATGCTGATTGACTACCACATTGAGTCTTTTTCACTGATAGCTCAGTTACTGCAAACTGAGCACTATCGGATAGGCATCAGGTTGGTTATAGCTTGCTCTTGGAACTATTGATTCAACCCCTAGCATTGCTCAGTAACTCATTTCCATGGTCTGGAAGAAAGACAAAAAAATTCCTCTTTACTCAGCTCTTGTGAGGCCCCATCTGTAGTACTGCATCCAGGCCTGGGGCCCCCAGTACAGGAAGGACGTGGAGCTCTGGATTGGGTGCAGAGGAGGGCCACTAAAGTGATCAGAGGGCTGGAGCACTTCTCCTATGAAGAAAGGTTGAGGAAACTGGGTTTGTTTAGCTTGGAGAAGAGAAGGCTCTGGGGAGACCTTATTGTTGCCTTCCAGTACTTGAAGGGAGCATATAAACAGGAAGGGTAACGGCTGTTTATGAGGGTGGATAGTGATAGGACAAGGGGGAATGGCTTTAAACTAAGACAGGGGAGGTTTAGGTTAGATATTAGGAGGAAGTTTTTCACACAGAGGGTGCTGACACACTGGAACAGGTTGCCCAAGGAGGTTGTGGATGCCCCATCCCTGGAGGCATTCAAGGCCAGGCTGGATGTGGCTCTGGGCAGCCTGGTCTGGTGGATGGTGACCCTGCACATAGCAGGGGGGTTGAAACTAGATGATCATTGTGGTCCTTTTCAACCCAGACCATTGGATGATTCTATGATTCTATGAAATTCATTTTGGAATTTGGCTTAGTATTTACAAAGCTAGCAAGGAGAGTAAGTAGATTCTATTTCAGTTTCAAAAAAAAAAAAAAAAAAAAAAAAAATCCTTTTTTTCCCCCTTAGAGGTGCTAGACATTACTTTACTTTGTCTCCTCTTCTGCATTCCTTTTTCACCAGCCTCTGACGGCTACAGCAGCATCTTCCCCAAAGCACATACTTCCCCACAGTTAACATAGAAGTTCTCTATTCCAGCTACTCCTGTAGTTTAATAAGCAAATGTTGACTGGTATAATCTCTCCTTTAATATGGCTTGATGCCACTGCTCTCTGTGTTTATGCCCAGTGTTCAAACACTGACGAAAATAAACTCTTCTCCTGGGCATGTGGTGAAAGAAAGATCTGCGGTCTAATCATAGGGAAATCAAACCATTCTGAACATT